TGGAGTGTCTCACAACCGTTGTTGCAAGGAGGTCAAACTTGTCAGCGCGCGGCAGCTTGATTCAGGCTTATCGCCTAAGGCATTGTACTAAGTACTTTATGACTGAAATGGCTGTGTCGCAATATGCATGTTGCACAGGTAGAGAGCAAGAAGCAGAGGAAGTCGGGAGCCCAGCTCCTTCCTGTGTTTTTTAAGATCAGCGATCTGAGGCACCAAACATTTTGTGGAAAGCACAATTGTACCCGAGTCAAACCAACCTTCCCGACAGAACGGGCGAATCTCCAAGACTTGAGTACCAATATGTTCAGTGGAAAATATTGCTTATGTCGTTTCTGCGTGCGGTCAATGAATGTGCCGATGGTGCTGTATGTGACGAATGCGCCAGCTTGTAGGCCCGATGAGTTCCAGGAGGAACGAACAAAAATGCACAGCCAGAGCCGAAAAATAAACCTGTTCAATGTTAGCGAGGACTCTTGGTGACAGTATCTGCTAAGAAGCTGGGATGATCCTTTCAGGAGCTCCTCAAGTAGCCGACGCAAGGACAGCTGTGGTGGTTCAAGGGGCTTGCAGTCTTCGACAATCGAAGGTGTTTGCAACTGGCAGGAACGAGCATCGAGTACCTCAGCCACGCGTTCCAAGGTGCTCGTGCGATCCTGCATGGCAGTTGTTGTACTTGGTCACGTTCGTGCTGGACCAGGCGAGCGACACCAGGAAAGAAAAGAAGGAGAAGGAGAAGAAGGACAGACACAAGGACACAGAGAAAGCAAAGAAGGAGAAGGAGAAGGAGAAGGAGAAGGAGAAGGATAATAAAGACAAGCAGAAAAATCACAAGGACAAAAAAGACAAGGACCGAGACAAGGAGAAAGACAAGGACAGAGACAAGGAGAAAGACAAGGACAGAGAGAAAGCTGACAAAGACAAGGACACAAAGGAAAAGGAAGAGCAGCTCCAGCAGAGAGGGGAGAAAGAGAAGGACAAGGACAAGGAGCCCTCCGAGACGGCCAGGGAAGCGGAGAAGGCTGCAGAGAAGGACAAGGATAAAGAGCTCGACAAGGAAAAGGCGAGGGAAAGCGCAAAGGACAGCGAGAAGGACAAGGAAAAGCAAAAAGACAAGGACAAGGAGAAGGATCGGGAAAGAGAGAAGGCAAGGGAAAGGGAGAAGGCCAGGGACAAGGAGAAGGGAAAGGAAAAGACAAAAGACAAACAAAAGGAAAAGGACAAAGCAAAGAAACGACGCAGGCCAGTGCTGCTGCATCCACCGATATGCAGCTCCGTAAATTTCATGCCGGACAACGAAGTAGCATCCTGCTGCTCAGCACCTCCTCATCTTCATCCTCGAGCCGGCCCAGGTTTCCGGTGGGATAGAACCCCGCTCATGTCATGACTGCTAGCTGCTAACCAATGATGTCCTTCCTGGGAAGCAGAGAGAAGAGCAGAGCCGAGTTTCGAAGATGGCGCTAGTCCAGCAAGCTTCGGAATGCGAGGAAATCCAAAGCAAAGAAGAAGGACGACAAGTCCGAGGCGGAAGATACTTCACAATGGCTGCGCTGGAACCGGTCTTTGAGAGCAGTTTTTGAGAGCATGGAACTTCGACATGCACCACCGGAGAGAACTACGTCAACCATCTGAGATTCGCTTCGAGCTTCGAGGTTTGACGGGAGGGATGCTGGCTTGAATTGGGTTGTGTCTTGTGCGCCCCGTGATTCCTAAATGAACACAAATCTGCAAGAATGCCGTGGCTGATCAGAGCCTGCTGAACTTGGTCGCCTTCCCAGGCAAAAGACAAGCCAAAGCACAGCCCATGGCTCAGAGGCTGCGGGTTTGTGGCTTGCGGAGAAGGCATGGTTGTTTAGCCGCAACAAACAATCCCCGTATAGCCTATAGGGCAGTCAAGCAAGCAAGCTTCAAGTAACCCGAATCTGCACCAAGGTGATACCGGCGAGAGGGACAGGAGGAAGAAGTCGTCGCGAAGTTCAAGCAGCAGCTCAAGCAGCAGACGGCAGCGAAAAAAGCGAAAAGAGCGCGAGAAGGACTGCCTGCTTTCTTTGGAAAAGCTGGTCCGCACTGCTGCCAAACTAGCTTCGACTCTACGACTAGCTTGCCTGGCCGCCTCGCCGGTAGGAGCGGAGGAAAAGGAAAGACAAAAAATCCAAAAAGCCGGATCCGCAGCACATCCTGCTTGATATTGGGATTTCGGAGTCTTGGAGGATTAACCCAGTAACGGAGTGGAGTGCCTGAGTGCGACGGAGTCACACTTGACTTCGATATGGATGTCAGGACTTTCATCGCATCGTAGAGTTCTCACGCCGAAATGCGTGCCTTCTTATGAATCGGCCCGTCGCTGCACAGTTCCGCTAAGTTTATCGTGTGGGACGAACGTACTGGAATTCCGTCGTTGCCCTGACCTGTCGGGCTGTTGGTCCACGAAGGAGCCTATAAGCTTCGTATGATGAAGATTTGTTGACAGTTGAGGTCTAGTTCCACATCCAGCAGCTGAGCGCCGACGGTTGAAAGTCGTTTCGAGCACTTCGAGAGCCAGTGCCAGAGCGGCCACGGCACGAAGACGCTCTTTCGAGCCTTGCAATTGTACCAGGCTGTCTTGCTTGCTTCGTGACATCCTTACTCAGTAAGACCAATGAGATCGTGCAAGCAAGGCTGCAGGGCGGTTGTATTTAGGGGCTCATGCACGACAGCTGGACAATGGTGGAGAAAACAGTGCCGGTTTGGCACGGGCAGCTTAGCAGGATGTGATCTTTGACATATCTTGCCCTGCCCTTCCCGCACGAAGCGTACTGACACTTGGTCAGAGAATAGCGAGACAACAGCAGCACACTGCAGGATGTCAGCTGCGTGGCTGCAACTCACACAGCCCTGTAGAAGAGCAGTGAAAGCTTAAGTCATGCAAGGGTCGCAATCCATTTTAGTGCACATTCGGCAAAGGCTGCATTCTGGGAGCCTGATCGAGACATGCCGCCAAGCCACAATACAGAGCTTGCTTGGTCCACAATAGTATTTCCAGTTCTCCTAGCCACTGGCCGAGACATGGGGCAGAAGCATGGTCGGCTGCGTGGGAGTCCCAGCATCACTGCATCACGAAACGATCTACGCTGAGTTTGCTCTTGTAGAGCCGTGCAGCTGGTTTGGTGAGATGGTTTCCTGCAGAGGACGCTGCCACGATGGTGCCAGAGACGCAAAGGCCCAGCAAGTCCCGCCCGCAGAACAGGAGCAGGAGACGAGAAGCTCCCACAAACCTGGAGCTATTGTCATGCGAGTTTGTCGCGCGAAAGGAGATGCCCGACCGGTCTTCGCCGAGGCCATGTCATGTCAATGTGACTACCCGACTGCAAGAGATGGGGTGTTATGATTCGTAGACTGTCCGGCTCCAGGTTGATTCTGCTGGTCAAGGGTCAGCCGCCTCAAGGGAGCAAGGCATAGCCCGCAGATGCCCGCAGCAAGGAAGCCGAATCTAAAGTCCCAGCGGTGCAGCGAGGGCTGATAGGCTTGTGCTCATGCCACCGCAGCCATCACTGACGATCTACCTCTTTAGCTTTGTCCATTCTTGTGCCTAGCTGTAGTGTGTCCCACCAGTGCAACCCTTCTTTCGAAGTTGTTGTCACTGCCAGCCGTTGACCTAGCAGCTCCATGAGCATCCATGACGGTGCAACTCCCATGCTGCAATGCTACATACTGTAGGTTCTGTACAGTTGTAACAGCTGTCGCAACATCTTACAGTCCGAGCTTTGCTCATGACTCCGTGTCCCTCGAAAAGCGCTGTTGATCAAGATGTACTGAGGCCTGGCATTTACAAGCTTGCAGACAGGCTGACATGGCCTACAGAGAGGGACTGTGGCTTAGTGGGTGTCGAGAACCGCAGGCACAGCCGACCAAATTCAATGCACTCCGCGTTCTCCAAGCAAGAGGCTCTGGGGCGCGCTCGCACACTAAGATGCCGGTTCTGCCATGCCGACAGGGTAGCATTCCAGCACCAGCCTTCATCATCAGAGCGTCGGTAAGTGGTCACCCGTCAGCCAACTGCATTCTGCACGCGACTTGTCCCTACAAACATTCCACTCGAAGGCCGACCCCCTGCTGGGGAGATCGCAGCATGCCTGCAAGAATGAAGATGAAGTGGGCTGTCTTCCTTCCATCCACTTTGCACTTCTAACTTCTACCATCAGCTGTGGAACCCATTTGCCCACACTGTGGACTCGGTGTTTCAACGAGACTTTGCTTCGATGCATCGGTAAGTAGAGAGATCCCGACAAAGGACTCGTGGCGTCCTTCGGGACTGGCTGCTGCCGTGCTTGCTTCCGCCAGTTCTGATTCTGGCGAATCTCGGTCACGAAACAGAGCAAATCTGAAGAAATCAAGCTAGTCAGGCGGTCTGTAGTGTTGCAGATGTACGAATCAGAACAAGCCGACCAAGCCCTGCTACTCTGCAGCCTTCCTTGTCTGAACAGATCAAGGTCAGCCTCGCTGATCCGCTCCTACGGCTGCACATGTCAAGGGGAAGCCTAGGGCCTAGGGCAGGGCACATGTGACACGCCGGAAGATGTAGTTCGTTTTCTTGCGTGGTCGGATTGTGGGTAGCATTTCGGTATAGCCCCTGTGCAGTTGTACTGGTACTAAACAACGAAATCCGAATCCCTAAAGCCTCCCTACGGCCCCAACCACCCCAAACTCAACCCACCCCATAGCTTCGGGTCTCGGTCCCTAGGCTTGAGATGTACTGTGAGAAAGCGAACAAGACGATATGGTTCTAATGTCTCGAAAACCTCCCAAAGCTAGGCTTAGTCCAGGATCCTTTCAACAGTTTTACATTGTGAAACTCTTGCAGTTTCGGCTTTTCGATCTTCAGCTTGCACATTGCATCCGCTGAAGGGCAATGGGTGAACATGGTGCGGATCCATGTAACTCCGTGTTGTACTTCGCGCTGCTCAAAGATAACATACAGTCTCGTGGAGCCTGGGTGTGCCTTCCAAGGTAGCAACCAGCACCTGATGCAACCTGCCGTTTTCCCGTATCCATTTGTGCTTGTGACGATGCATTGCTTCTGTTGCGGCCTGGCTGCAGCTTGCCACAACTAGGACGGCAGAGGCGTGAGCCAAAAGAACAACTGAAAGTGTCCACCGCCCAGGTTCCTTGTTCTCCGGCGCCCTTCTGCTTTGCAAGCCATCGCTGTTTCCTGCGCTGACGGACCCGATGCGGGTGTTTCTTGCTGTTCCACAACATGGCATGAGGCTTACAGAAACCAGGATGGCATCGGCAGGCGAACAGGCCATCCCAAGCCCTCCCCAAGCCCTCAGCTCAAGAGCCTCAGAAAGCCAATAGAAACGGCTTTCCTGCCATACCGAAGATTCTCTCTTTCTTGTTGATGCCGCTTTTGCCGTTGAAGACATGTCTGCCCACTCAGTCACCCGTCACTACCAGGATCCAGACAAGATGGTTGACATCACCCCGCAGTACTACGTCAGGATGCCCACTGCACTGCGTCATGTGAGGTTTCTTAAACATTCCGAGTGTGCGGCAGAATGAGTGCAAGCGAGCGAGCGAGCGAGGGAGCGATTTAAGGGCTGACCAGAGAAGGGCTGCATGTAGTCCATTGTTTCGGGGATATTTCGTATCCGTTGCACATACGTTTAGATGGGGGAAGAGCGAAAGGCATGACTTAGGCGTGACTCTCTTTATGCTGCGTTTAGATGGGGGCAAGCCTCCAGGCATGACATGGGCGTGACATAAGCATTTGCCTGTATAGGGGTAGGGAGGGTAGGGAACGGGGTAGCGAGCAGTAAGCGCTTGGGGCAGGGGGAGCTTTTTGGTGAGCTGAATGTGTGTTGAGGCAGGGCTGTGGGGGCTTGGGGGCCTGGAGCGGGGACTAGGCCAGGGTGGGGAGCGTAGTAACGTCCGTCGTCGAGGGTTGGTGGGTAGGAGAATCCTGATGTTGTAATAGCAGTATTGACAAGCAAGCGTTTGCACGGAATCTGCATTATCACTGCAAGTTGCGTTTGTTCGCGTGACTTTGCTTATTTGTTTGTGATTGTTGATATTGTGGGACACCATGCGCCCAAACCTATTGCGTGATTATTGTAGAGGTAGATATAGATGATAGTGTATATGAGTCGGGAGGGAAGCGCGGCGACTTGGGGTGTGTAGGATGAGTGCGGAGGGGGCGATTTGGGGAAGGGGCGGGGAATGCTGACTCTTGACTCTGTGCCACGCCGTTCGCTATCGATGCGGCGCAATGTGATGTGACTTGAAAAGAAACAATCTCTACCTCTACTCCTGACCCTTAAACACCCGAACCCTACAGGACATACCCTAAACCCCAACAGCGTCAAATCGCTCAAATCCTAAAAGCCGTATTCAGACAGCTTGTATTTTACATGTCATTCGCTCATATAAAAGAGGCCCAAAACTCTGAAAAGCTGGGACCGCTGAGGTGAGCACAGAAGTCCAGACCAGGCACACACAGGCAGATTTGCGAAAAAGAATCGATGTTCTGGTCAAACAGAAGCCCGACAACAGGAAATTCTGCGAAATTCAGGCTGAAAGTGGCAAAAACCTTGGATGGGCCTCGCACAGCCTAATGGCCACAACAGGAAGCCACCAGGCCAGTTTTGCACAGTTCGTTGTGACTCTTTCGGTGTGGTGTGTTGACGTCAACAATAGTAGTTTCTTGTCCTCTTCTGAGCCTTGCAGGCTTGACACCAAGCATGGTCGCTGCGGTCTTTATGCGGATTGCCTGCGTTCGCGATTCTTCCTGCCAGCAGAACTTGCTTGATCGCTGGAAGGTGTCATTATTGTGATTGCTTTTGTGATTCGAATGCGAGCGGATTCGTGTGTGCACTTGGATGTACGACAATGTCCGGCGTGGCAGGTGATCTTGGAAGAGTGCAAGGAGCGCACAAAGAAAGGACTGAATGCCTTTGCATTCGGGCAGGACTGCTGTGGTGCGTCACAACACAGAGAAATCAGTTGGTGGTGCAGTTTTAAGGTTCGCTTGGCAGGACGAAGCAGAGACCGATGCTGACCGCGCATGGCGACAGCGCCGAGTGCCTCATGATGACGTGAGCTTTCGCATGGAGACTCGACGCATGCAAGCTAGCATGACGGGTCATGTGTCGCTACTGCCGTTGCCAGCCCGTGCAGTGAGAGCTTGTGTCTCAGGCCAATGCCAGTGAAGTGGTCACTCCCATGGACAAGCTCACGCAAACCCTGCCCCAGATTGCCCGGGCTGAACAGGAATGACATTCGGAAGCGTCATTTTGCTCATGCAAGGATAGCGTTTTTTGTAACTTTAGATGGGAGTGTGATACTCTATGTCAAGTTCGATTTTGCAGCCCTTCTATTGTTGGCGGCCTTGCCAACAACATGTGCACGTGCAGTGGACAGCTGATTTGCTGCTTCATCTCGTGGTCTTACCACGACTACGGATGGTTTCGACTTGTACAGATGCGGCTTTTGGCGTGTCTATTCCTTGCGCGTCCTTTCAATTCGAATGTCGGGATGGTTAGGGTACGTACGGCTGAGTGGAAATTGGCCTGATGTTTTTCGAGGTACGAAGGGTGCACTCAGCGCGGGGCTAGGCCTTCACATTGGCCGCCGTCGTCGCAACAGGCGAAAGGGATTGTTGCAGATGTGGCGGCCTGAGTAGTGGAATGTTGCGTTTGTGTGATTGCATGTGCTTTTGTATGTGCGTTCATGTTGCTTACATTGTTTTGACGCTTGCGCGACGAAGTCTGTGCTCTATATAAGGCCTGGCACTCGGCTACGTTGTTTGCGGCGGTGGAGAAGACGGGAAAGCTGACAGAAGGCCCATTTCCCGTGTTTGACTGGAATGTTTATTTCTTGGACTCTGACGATAAAACTAAAAGCTGTCAGGCAAGTGCTACGTCACCATAGGCACGACCATCTATGAGGGTCCGGTTGCGGCACCTCGGCTGTGCGTGTCCGGTATAAGCTGAAACGCAAAATCGCGTCTTCTGCCGCGTTTGGTTGGTTGGTTGGGTGGTCGAAAGGTGGGTTGGCTGGTTTGTGTTGGTTGCTCCAAGTTGTTTGGACGCGTTTGGATGTGGGTTTTCTTTGCTCGTTTGCGTCTTCGTGGGAGTCCTCGTATCGACAAAGGGAGGTTTTGTTTTTTGTTTGCCCGATTTGACGCAGTTTGGTTTGGCTTGTGGGTTCGCATGGTGTCCTCGCAGCACTTGGTTTGGATGCTTGTGTACGGCACTTTTGAGCTCAGGTCTGGCAGTATCCGTGCCAAAGTGCACGTGATTTGGTCGTGCTCGAGGCTGTCCGCCCGCCGCCCGGGACTTTGGTGAGCATGAACTGCATCACCCAAAATCAGCATGGAAGCGTGAACTCCTTGCTGGCGGGCGGCGACGTTGATGGAGACTTGGACATGGCTACCTGGCTAGGTTTCTGTTTTCCTGCAGTTGCGCACTTAGTCGAAAGTGTCTGCATCACTTTTTCCTGCACCTAGATTAGCTTCTGGCCAAATCAAAGCTCGTCGAGTTTTTGGCTGACACGGAGGAGGCGGTGAAGGAGCAACCCTGCGTGGTGAGTGTTCATATTTTTTTGCAAGAAATGAATAGCCTCGACAACAACAAGTCTGAACAGGCGTGGGACTTTGAGAGTGTTCATATTTTTTTGCAAGAAATGAATAGCCTCGACAACAACAAGTCTGAACAGGCGTGGGGCTTTGAGACGCTGCAGGCGGAGGCCCTTGAAGGCGTGGCTGAGCACGGCATCCAATCAGACTTCCGAAAGGTGTTGCTTGGTTGCGTTTGAGGTTTTTTGATGTGAGCCGGACGAGTCCAGGTTTAGCTGGTGTTGTTCGTGCGTGTTGAAGGTCAGACCTACCTGCGGGAGGCACACCGCGTCAAGACGATTAGTCTTCGCGGACTGGCATGCCGGTTCGCGGAGAGAGTCGCCGGCCGTGCCATCAAAGCCCTTCTGTCAGGACAGCGTCGTCTTGATCAAAATTTATCATTTCTACATCGCCGGATGTTTCTGGCTTACGACACGATTGCCTGTACTGTTATGTGGTAAATTTTCAGAAGACCTTCAACGCAGAGTGTTTAGGGAAGAGTTTCTAAGAATCTATAACTCGCCAGTTGTTTCTGGCCCATATTTGCCTGTACTTTCATGTGGTAAATTTTCTGCAGACCCTCAACGACCGTCTACGGACCACGGCCTTTTGGGGGCCTGGGGGGTTCCTTCGATGATCCTGGCTTCTCCTCGATCCTCACTTCCCGCTGCCCTGGAAGGGCCCGCGCGCTGCCTGGAAAGTAGGTAAGAAGAGATGCGGGGATTACATGAATGCAACTGGCTTCCCCCGGGCTCAACCCCGCAAGCGTCGGCGGATAAGAAAGCCCACGGTATTCCTTACCCGCCCTACCCACCTACTTCCTTTTCCTACGACCTACCTACCTACCTACCTACCGACCTTAGCACCTACATGTACCTACCTTTCCTCCTTAATCCATATGCATATGTATGCGTGTATGTATGTGCAGATGTATACATGTGTGTATATATATATATATACATATTTATGCACGTGCACACACATATCACACATATATATATATATATGCACAGATAGAGACAGACACATGTTTTTCGATAGCATGCTGCTCAGATGTAAAAGAGCGCACATACACATGAGCATCCGGTCACTGCTTAGCCTGGCAGGGAAATACTTCCCATTGCGGGCTGCTTTGCAGTGTCATTAGCAACTGGGCAGAGATGTTCGGCTGTCAGCATCCCTTCGTGCACCCACAGTCGGCATGCAGAGCGGAACTCCCATCTGGGGGTTGTGCCAATGAAGCTTCGTTGGCGTGCTATGAGGTAACCAGCAACATGGCCTACAAGTACTGCACTGTTGCTTTCCTCCAGATGATGAAGGAGTCCAACATAGCGACATGGCCAAAGGAATGCGATTAGTCACCGGCTGGCGGCCCTGGTCGAAGCGTGTCCCACCATGCAACTCAGGTGTGTCTTGTAAAACTGACGTCTGACACAAGCTTCCGGAAATTGTGAAGACGTCTAGAGGTACTGTAGCAGTTTTTATCATAGATCAGGTGACCATCTACCTCATGTCGGTAGCGGCCGGCATCGAGAACTTCTCTTTAGTGATTGGCTTAGATTCAGCAGCAACGTAGCCGGATACGACCTCTGTGGAGGGCAGACTTGCAGCCTTGTGGGTACGCATGTCTGAGGTCTTTCGAAGTTCACAGTTCTGTTAATTTGTAAAAAAGTTGAAGGCAATCTCGAGACGCTTCCATTCCGTGTCCGGTTTCTGTTCGGTCAAGCTGCGAATGTGTCGTTTCGCGAAGTAGGACTTGTCCTTGGGAACCTCAGGTTCAGTCCATGATCTTGGTTGCAATGGTGTGCGCAACCTGGACCCTCTGACAACTTAAGCGAAATAGGAAAGAGTCGGGAAGCTTGATTGCGCTCCCTGGCCCGAAGCCATGGACAAGATTGGCGGTAGTGAAGCAAAGAGATTCTTTATTATGAAGCAGGCGCATCCCATTCCCACGACATCCTGCTCCTGTTCCTGCAATAAGTTCCTGTGATCCAAGCCAAGCGTCGAGGACGTGCGTCCAGGGTGAGTTGCACTTCTCTGCGCTCGGCCTGCTACTGCAAGCCAGCTCCTCCTTGGCGGAAGCGGTGCCTCGGTTTCAGCTACGTTCCAAAGCTTGTTTCGAGATGACATCCGCTGTGAACGCAAGGCGGACTGAGAAGCAGGCATGAAACTTCCACTTTGCCTTCGGCCTTTGAGTCGAAGACGAGTAGTTGTGCAACATCTATCCCGACTTGAAAGTGCAGACTCAGAATGTGCACTACTATATCTACTATAGACTATCGTGCACGGAGCCTCCAGCTCGAATGAAACCCGGGCAAGACGGACTAGTTCAAGAACGCGAAATGCACTGTAACGGCACGCTTGCCACAGCTCCCTGGCTCCCTCCTCTGCTTCTGCGGAAGTTGAATTGCGAAGTTGCTGGAAGCAGAATGAATTATTCTTAGTTGCTTTTCCCAGGTTGCAACGGGTTACTTCAGTCCCTCATCCAACGCCAAGGCCCCTTCCTTCATTTGCCACAGGCATACAGTCTGAGAGAAGGCTTCCGAGTACTAAGCGTGTACTATGGCGAAACAAAAGCCCAAATCGGACGCATCTCCAGTAGTTGCGGGCAAGGCTCAGATATGACAACGGCAGCCATCCCTAGCCCTGCAGAAAAACACGCCCACCAGACAAAACAAAATCGTAGTCACACATGGTTGCAGCGTCGTGTTATCATCTCCTGAGTCGCACCAAGGCGAAGACCATCTTTCAGTGTTTAGCCTTGGCGCATGGCTCCGGAAAGAAGTTAGATCCACTGTCTGCAGTGCCGCTGCTGCAACGAGTTTTGTGCCGTCTCCCAAACGGAAAAACCTCCTTTGACAAGGTGCTCGTGATCATGCCTTTGTGCGGTCTCCTGCTGGCAATGGTGATCTTGTTCCACTGCCATGCTGCTGGCTAGCAAAGCAATGCTGCATGAGCAGCACCAGGGGTAGCCGAAGCCAGCGACCACACTTGGGTCAGGGCAGCGAGGAGTCTGGGCTTTAACTTGTAAGGCTTACGAGCTGACTTTCGTCACCATTCCGACGTACAGCCAGATCTTCGAGCTTCGATGCTGGGTTGCAGCTTTCGTTCCATGATTTTCGTGGCGGGCGATGCAGTGCTGTTAGATACCGCGCCATGTCTGAAGTCAAGGCTCTGACTTGGCCTTGAATGTTGCGAACGCGTTTGCTCCCCGACAAAACAGGATTGCACGGGCTGCGAGTTCCGACGTTGCAGCTACTGTCCGCGGAAGAATGAGGTTCTCAATGTCCTCATCGCCATGTTCCTGAAGATTTTGTCCCCTGTCGCCTACATCCTCACCGGCAACGCAACTCGGCAAGTCGAAGCTCGAGCCCCTTCCTAGCCTCGGCCCGGACGGGCTGCAGGGGCTGCAGGGAACTATGCAGGCTGCAGACCCAGAGCTTTACATCCTCTGGTGCCCGCGAATGCAGAGTAGCAACAGCTCTTGGGTTCCGGTAGAAGGCCACTCCGGAACAACAGCAACGATAATGTAGTGAGCTTCAACCAGGTGAAGGACATTGCCATCGCACCCTGGCTGCGACATGCATGCGAAGCTTTCGCCAGACTAGGGGTTAGGCCAGAGAAGTAGCTTAATCGGAGTATGCATGGTGCTTGCTCTGAAGGTTGTCATGTCTGCCTTGCTCATGCACGATGCCCGGCAGCAAGTATGGACTATGCTAAGATCTGCCCGGATCATGTGTGCTGATGTGGCGATCAGTAGTCAAAGAAGCGGCCGTCAAGTCGCAGCAAGCCGGATCCTTGCAGAACTTTGAGGTACCTGCTGCAAAGCTGCACGGCATTGCCATGCTTCTTTTATGCTTCTTTTCCATGAGCACAGTTCTCTTGCGATCAGGAGTCCATCAGCAACCAGCAGATCTGTGGCTTCAGCATGCAGGTTGTTCTTGTGTTCCTTTGGAGCGCTTTGAAGCAGTGTCTTGCCAGCACTCCGTTCAGCAGAGACCTCCGGCACCATACACATGCACATGGAAGACTGGCCGAGTCCGATCCGATCATGAGCTAAGTTCACTTGCAATAGTTCCTGTGCCGGCTCGCGTGTGTTCGGTTCGGCTGCAACGAATTTGGAGAGATTGGTGCAGCGATCTTTGAGGCTTACAAAGAAGAGCTGCTCGAGCTGAAGCTTGGCGAGCTCCTCTCCCTGATGGTCAAGCTCTGCACATGCTAGCGATGATCCAGACCAGACTGCGTCTGCTTGCGGAAACCGCATGGCGTGAGTAGCTCACTGCGCTTGGTATTTCCATTTTACATAAAGATCATTGCACCCGTTTGGCTTGTTTGATCTCGACATGTCACGTCGACAAGGACCGTTTGCCTGGATGCCCCGCTTGGGAGAGCTTTAGGGAGACAAGGCAGCCACTTGTGGCTCCAGCTTGTATATCAGGCCTGCCACCTGCCTCGAGCACCGCTTAAGTTCAGGTAGGCATCGGGAATAGGGGTAGTTGCCAAGAGCTTGGGACTGCAAGTAGAGCTAGTGGTACATAGCCACCCCTTACTCCTGAGGGATGCTTGAGGCAGGTTGTGAACCGTCGTACGTGTGCTTGCCATGTGTCTGGCATCGTATTGGCAGAACGCTGTAGTCGAGCAGAGCGCATCCTGGCAAGAGAAATCAAGGCTGCGAATTCCAGGCTGCTTTGGTTGTTTTTGGACACAATCAGAGCTGAACCTTTCGTCGCATCCAAGGGATGTTCTTCTTCTGGACGTTAGCCACCTTCACAGCTCCCGTGCTCGCCGCCCTCCCTCGACAAGTCCAGGCAACAACCCACCTGTTGAAACGACTTGCTGCATCCAGCATGGAAGGATGTTCCACGTGCATATGCCACCAGCGCGTTCGTTCCAGGTTCTTTCAGACGGATCCGTGCACGCCTTCTCTCATGCTCACCGTGGCCCAGTCTGAATATTCATTCGTAGCTGGGCATACTCCATGTGGTTCGCACGGAGCGTTACTTGCGGCAAGCCTTGGTCCCTTCCCCATCAGCCGCAGCCCTTCCGTCGCACGCTGAGTTGGGCCCTCTGCGAGCCTACTCCGGCGGCAAAGCATAGCGGCGCTCACAGGCCCAGTGATGTCAGATGTCGAATGAGAGACTGTGGAAGTTGCAGCAACCCCCCTCTCTCTCTTTATTCAGCACAACTTTCCTGTGTTTGGAGAACGTTGCAGAAGGCTTGACCCGCTCGACGCCTTCGCCTTCGATTGCAGCAAATGTGAGCAGCTCCCTGGCGGATGATTTTCTCTGCTACCGCCTCTCACGAGCCACCGGCACAGTGAGCCTGAGGCGGTCTGGCCGGTGAGCTGGCGAATGTCACGAACTCCATTGATCACCTGCAAGGTTCCTTATGGGCAAAGCGATCTGAGGTCTATAAGTCCAGATCGTTTAAGTCGGTGCAGCCCGACGGCCTGCCTTCCATATCCTTTTGCTTGCGCAGGCGATGTATCCTCGGCAGAGGTTATGCGCGTGCGCCTCGACGGTCACGGCAGCTGGGCATGAAAGAAGGAGACTTGCGAGCTTGGGACCCCGACAGCCACAGCACTGAGGCGACACCCTGGAGATTGTGAGCACCATCATTTTTACCATGACAGTGTGTGCCGGGTGCTCGGGCAATCTCACATTGATTTGCAGTGTCGACTCGGGCCTGCAGTCGAGCAGACTTACAGCATTGTCTTGTGAGAGACAGGTTCTTCTGTCGTATTCTCTAGGTTGGTTTGCAGTGCGACAGCAGGTGTGGCTGGTGGTCGCATTCAAAATCCTGAGCTGGCTTTACCCCGCACTGTATTCTCAAAGAGACTTCACTGAAGTGTGTGAGTGGAACTGCCGCTCGCGGCAAGCGTGGCTGCTCGGGGCTCCGGTGCCGTGCCTCTGAGGAGAGCTTGAGCAAAGAGGCTGCAGTGAAGGTGTCGGACTTGCCGAAGCTATCGCGGAGCCATGGCACGAACACCGGGGCGAATGAAGTCACACCCTGCGTTCTTGATTCCATCTCTCCACCAAGCACGGCTTGTCCAGCGGGACCGAGGATGTAACATCATTGTGGCACCAGATTTCCGTTGCAGCTTGGCCTGTCGCGATGGGTTGTTGCAGCTACTTTGGCCTTCTGCACTGCAGCTTCACTTTAGTCTTGGGCTTGTTGCAAGACTGTTCGTAAGACAAGCAAGTGAACGAAGGCCATGTTCTTGAAGGAGGAGGATGTCCTGGAAGTCCAGGGTCTGGACGCATGGATGCACATGCAGTTTCAATGGCTGCTGGGCTTGCATGTAGTGCTCTTCCATCAGGGGCGGGGGCGATCTGGCTGCAATCGACGTCAGCAAACCCTTCGGCTGCTGAGGCTGTCCTTGCGGATTATCGCATCCCTGTGCTTGGTTCCAGCGACTCGGCTGCTGCTACGCGACCTGACCATGGATGTCGACAGAATTGAAGACACGGCAGGTCATCGTTTGCCCATTGCACTGGACTCACGTCCAAACGCAAAGCTCTGAGCTCTTCTCGCGATTCAATCTGGCGGTCAACGAGGATCGTTACTTCGCCACCTGGCAGTGACAAAACAGTCAGTCATGGCATGGCATTGCTCCATGCCATGTGCAGTCACCCGCAAATCGCTTTCGACCTTCTTGCCGAGTTGTGCATTCGGGCCAAGCAGACCTCTCCCAAAAGCATGGGCTGCATGAAATTGGCTTCACTTCAGGTGTTGTGGATCCACGTCGGAGTTGTTTGGGCGGTGGTGACGCTGACGACTCGTCCCATGGATGAATGGTGTTCAATGGTACAAGTCACTAGTCTGCGTGTACAATGACCTGGAGACGGGCCAAAGGACAGCTGCACTTGGCCATGAAGCAGCCGCACGGCATTGAAGAAATACAGCTCAGCGCTACTCGGACGCTTCATTTCTGCTGTGCTGGACTCCGAGGTTTGTTCCTGTCCGATACCGCTGGCTCAGTGCAATGGACTTCCCGCAATCCACCACAGTCTTGGTGCCTTCGGCAGTAAAGACCACAGCAAGAGTCAGCATCGGCTGCCTTTCAATGGAAGAGGTTGTTTTGGGGAAGGGACCTGACCTTGGGCTCTTCCCTTGGCTCTGTCTCCCTGGACGCTTCCAGTCCAGACCTGCTGACGTGCAACGACAGCTCTTGACGCTCTTTTCATCTGACAGCCGCTGCAGACGCCTAGTGCCAACATGAAAGGTAGAGCGAGCCTGAACCTCCAAACAAAAATCGAGGTATTCTCTCTTTGTTTTTGTGGCGTTCGGGATTCCACAGATGCAGCTTGGCTGGGCCTCGCTTGGCTCGGCTTCCCGTCAATTGTCAATTAAAGAAGCAGAACATGACTACTGAAGCCAAGGAAGAGCAGAGAAGGGAGGAAGGAAGGAAGGAAGAAAGAAAGGTGAGTTGGGCTTCACTACTACACATCGTCACTGCATGATCATGTCGTACATTTCCGAGTATCGGAAGCGCATGCAAGCGGCAGCGTACAGCAGTTACAAAAGTCGGAAATGCATATGTGCAGGATCTTTGCATGTGCAAGTAGTGAAAACCCAATAGCCACACAGTTTCTTGATCTGCAGGCTGACTTCACAGCTTCATAGAATCTGTGTAAGTTGCAGTACATCAGCGTGTAGCTTTACAGTGTTTGAGAGCGCAACAGCACATTCCAGATTCGGTTGCACAGGCCAACTGTAGTTTCAGGCATTGCAAGCTTGCGATCACTCCAACATTATTGGAGCAAGCAGTGAAGCTCAGCAATTTGCGGTATCGGGGCCAGCACAACCAAACACCTCGCAACTGAACATCGCACTTGTCGAGTTTGTTCGTCTTGTCTGAGGTGCAGGGAATGCCAGAGTCCATGTCTTCAGACGCACGCCCCGCCCCTACAAGGTGTTTTCCCTTTGTCTGCTCCTGCAGCCGCTTTGTCGCATCGCTTAAACAGCTCCCCTTCAGGCCTACAGTCTTACTTTGCCGGCCTTTTTGGGGACAATGCGGTCGTGCGTTGCTGCTCTGCCAGCAGATGCGTGTCGATTCTCTTCGCCTCTTCGGAAGGGATGATCTGGCGGATTCAACGAACTCGAGGAGCTAGAGGATCTAGAGGTACTGTACCAAGAAGTGCTGGCAGCAAGTACATGGAGGTCCTAACCCCTGCATCCTTAAGCTGTTGGCCGAAATCCGGCGTTAAGACTGCTTGAAACAGATAGGTGCGCGAGATTTGTGGAAAGAGCTTGGAGCAACTCCCCTGCGCAAGGCTGCAAAAACGGTAGTGTTGATCTGCTACCTAGACAATCATGGTGTTTCCACAAGACTTCTACTGCTGTCTTCCGCCATTCCGAAATTGGGTATTTTGGGATCTTGCATCTTTGTGAGTGCATCACAAGTCGAGATTCGGGAGACCTTGCGTGCTCGTTTGCAGGCTATGTCGTGCGCAACACTCGGCTTCTGCAAAGGAAGCTGGAGAGGCCAGAGCGAAGCCGCCGATCCGATGTTTCCTTCCGGGACGCAAGCTGCGAGCCGTCAGGCTTCGCAAAGCTGAGCGGGAGCTTGCAAAGGCAGTCCTGAGGCTCGGAGAAAGCCTTCTCTTGTAAGCGAGGTTAGGTTTAGAGTGGTGCTTGCGGCTTGTGGGCAGGAGCCAGGCCGAAGGTTCGGACCCAGCATCTTCGGAGTTGGTTCAGAGCCTCCGCTGCAAAAGGGGCGGGCTGGGCTGGGCTGTGGTGTGAGATGATCTTCCCAAATCCAGTGCTGGAGGTTTCGGCGTGAGTCGCTTGCTGACATCAAGGAGCTTTGCTGCTCAGCGCTTTTGCTTGTAGCGAACCCTCGGGTTACCCGGCATGGAGCAGCCCGACATATGTTGGGTTTTTTTGTTCCCGCAGGAGGAGGTAACTGCCGAAAGAGTTCGGTTGGGGCGGTTGAGCCATGCACTGGACCCCGATGCACCCTGGCCGACAAATGTGGCACCTGAAGTCGGCTGACGAAGACAGGCATCTATCAGCAGACTTCTGCAGGTCTGCACAAGCACTGGCTTCGTGACCTTCCGCACCCGACTGGACATGAGACTCGAAACTCAGCTGCAGAAGAGAACGCACTTTTTGCCGATAGTTGTGCCTAAATGCATTGCGCAGTAATTACGCGTTCATGCCAAGCGGCAGCTTTTTTTCTGAGGCAGCCCGGGAACAACTCGGCACGGATGCGTTTGCCCTTGTCTTGCAGCAGGTGAGGACCCGATGGGAGAGCCAGCATGAACGTTGCTCCTTGCCCTGCGCAGGCACCATCGCCTATGGATGTGTCCTACGTGCTTTAGTTGCAAACTACGTCGCCATGTAAGCATCATAGATCGAGAAGACATTGGAACTGGCCGAACTTTCGAATCGTTTCGGGGCCGCACACTGCGAAGCAGCGGTACGAAGGGCATGGGATTGATCGCGAGGCACACCCAGTTTGGGTCTAACCTTATCTTCTTTCTGGAGGGATCTTTCGATGTGCTCAGTCTCCACCAGCCGAGGATGCGCTGATTTTGCGACCCAGTTTCACACTCCAGCGCTTGGGAGCCCTCAGCGACCTCTGCTGCATCGGTTATCGCTGGGCATGTTCCAGGAGAATGTTAGAAGTGCAAGTGTCGCGGAGCTTTGGATGCTAAGGCACATTCGGGGTGTTCTTGGCCTTTGTCCCGGCTGTGACCTGTCCAAAGTAAGCATGCCGCCGGCGGAGCCTCTTCGCAGAGTCGCCCTGTCCAGGTAGTCTTCGTCTCCACTTTATTGAGCCCCGGCAACATGAAAAAGACTCCATCACCTGCCCGATCAAGACGACTCAGCTACCATCCAAGGAATCTGAATTCCTGGCAGCAGGTTTTTCCGGCCATCGGCAGGCCGGTCGCATTGTGCATATGCATCGAAGTCTCAGTCATGCTCATTGCAGGCTGAGGCACTCTGTTCCCATCGCTATGGAGATGCGGCTTGACTTGAGGGCAGGAAGACCAGACACTGACACGGAGTTTCTTTATCGATCTCAGGCTGGAAGGTGTGCTGGCAACGCTGAGTCTCAAGCTCATGCTTAGCTTCATTCCAGCGGTGCTACTGAACCTTGACCAAGTTTGGCCTTCTTGAGCCGCGTCTGAGAGGATTTCTGTATAAACCGGAAGCCGAGGAGACTGGTCAGGGCCTTCTCCAAACCAGCGGCTCGTAAGCACCAGCTTTGTCCGGTCCGGCTTGGACTTTCAGACAGAAAAATGGGAAGAAGGAGAGGGGAGGGGGAAGGGGAAGGGGAAGGAAGGGTTTCCTGCAGAGGTGTCCAACTCATCCGCCCAGCTCCAGCTCCAGCGCACCTACTTTGCCTTCCTGGTTGTCTTCGTGCTGCTGGTGACCTCTTTTGCGCAGGAAGTCCGAGGGTTAGGGTCTGGCTTTTGAGCGCCTCAAAGGCTGCCTTGGCCAGCTGCGCCCAGATTCCCAGGGCCTCATCACCACGCTTCTCTTCGTGGCCCAGCAGCCGACCGCCATTGTGCCCCTGCTGGCCAAGTCCTTGCCTCTTACATCCCGCTTCTACGCAGCCTCGAGGCAAGAAGCAAAATGGCATGAGTTTGGCTACCTACACGGATGTGTCACAACGGATATCAGCAGTAGATACGGCCCATTTTCTTTTTGCTGAGTCAGCACGCAAGGTCCAGCTACTTCACCTGGAATCTATAGATCGTTCTGAACCCCAAACTACCAAAAAAGAAGCCGAGGTAAATTACTTGGTGCTTGGGCACGGTGCTCGGCAAGCATGCTGCCTTGTCCAATCCAATGGGGGGCAGGCGGAAGCCGTGCAATCTGAGACTGAATCTCCGGGTTCCACAATCATGGGAAACGTTATGCCTGTGACAGTGCTTTGGACACTTCCAAGGTGGGGCTCGTGCATGTGCGAGCTCCTGCGACCTGCCCCGCTTGCCCGGGCCCCAGCAGAAGCGGGGCTTGCAGCTTGCAGTGTCTGACTGCTCTTGCACAGAGGTCCTCTTCCTGAGCCTTCGCGAATTTACGAGCCAGGATGAGGCCAGGCTCCGGGCAGAGGAGGACCGAACCGCAAAAGCTGCGACGAGTGCTCGGTTACGTTTTGCCGGCTTTTGCTTCTTTGCAATCCGTGGACACTTTCGCTGCAGAAGTGTGGACAAAGGACTCCGTGCTTATGGGGACTCGAGCAGCAAGATCGACCTTCATGCTGGTCATTGCGTTGGCCCCGAACCCAGAGTTGTCCAAAGTCCACGTCCAACGTTGCTGGCGCTTACAAGAGACATTGAGGTCTTTTGCTCCATTTGCCCTCTTGTCCTCCTGGTTGCCTTTGTCTACTTCCTGGTAGAGCGCCGGGAGCCCAGCCTGCATAGGCTGCACTACACAGCGCCGCGAGCATCAGCAGTAGATGCTCATGCTGCGGGGCAGGTTTCGCCCATGGCTACCTGTTCATGGCTGCTGAGCCTCGTCAAGGCGATACAGGAGCAATCGCTTTGATCGTTATCCTTCCTGCCTTCGTCCAGTGTTGACGCGACTGGAGGAGGCGAGATCTTTGTGCAGGCGCTCAAGCAGGCTGCCATTGCCTGACCCTGCCCGGCAGACTTCTGTTCCTCCGTATCTTCAACAGGTGCACGTGGGATTGATGATCTACGTGCTGCTGATGGTGGGAGTGCTGGGCGCACGTGGCGCTGAATTCAGCCTCCCTCTGGTGGTCCTGCTGTTGCTCGACGTCTTTACAAAGACTTGTCCTGACATGACGTGCATTACAGTCAGACTGTGCAGCAGCTCCAGCAAACCCGCAACAGCTACCGTAGCTCCTTTGATCTGACAGTCAGGCTTGTGGTGATGTGGTCCCTCCACGGCATGGAGGGCTACTTGTGGGCAAACTTGCCGTTGGACAGGGCGGCCATCTCAGTCCTCTGCACATCCACGATGCGTCCGTGTAGTGGAGAGCGCTTCCGTTGGGGAAGCAGTCGTGTTGGACCTTCGCACTGGCATTCAGGATTTTGTAGGCAAGGTACGGGGCATGAGCACAGGAGATCACAGGAGAGGACCAGCCGTTTTTGGACCCAGGACTCTGGAAGTGGGTTTTCGGTGGGTGCCAAATTCCGATTGTGAGCTCGATACAATCCAGACTTCTCTGTGTCCTCTCTGGAAAGCTGTTGTATCATCAGCTGCAAAAGCCAACGAGAACCTCCGACGGACTTTTGTTGCATGTCCTGTGACATCCTGGCGAATTGTTTGCAACCTGCAACCCGAGTAACCAAGTGCGCTCACGCACCCGACCGAAATTGTGTGGCAGAGCACAATGTTTGTCCACCGATGTCCACCGCACCCCAGGAAGAAAAGAGCCAGAAACACAAGAAGTATCAAGCACTGCTCTTGAGCTGGGCTATGGCGTGTCTTCAGTTCAACGCTGTCTAGTCTTGGGCGAGCTTCTTCCAGTCTTTCAGCTATAGTCGAACTCAGCGCTGCACAGCTCCAGGAACCGATCAGCTTTGCGTGAACCTGCAGCAAGCCACGTGCTACCGAGGTGTTTGACCTGGATGATGCCGATCCGGCGTTTGAGGAGGGCCTCGAACACGAGGCGGATGCCAGCCTTGCAACCACATGACCTCACATGCCGGCCAGCCGGTTTAATGAGTGCACAGATTCGATGCGATCCACAAAGCAGTCCTTGGAGCATTGGCACCCCAGTCAGCACAGCATTTTCTAGGAATGCACCTGGCATCCAACCTGGAATTTCAGGAAATAATCAAGCACCTTGCGGCAAGAAAGACTGTCGTAGCTGAGCGCAGCTGCAAGAGCTTAACGAGCCCGGAGGTTTATGAGCAAGCGGAGTGCCGGGCCGCAGAGCCATCGCCAGCTCCTCCACAGATCGTCGTGTCCAGGAGCCTCTTTGAGTGGGTGAAAAACTCGGACATTTGAGTTGCAGTCGCTGCCACTGCCTGTGCCACGAGGGTGTCACTCAACATGCCTACGACGCCCGTGGCACCGCCTGCCGCCCCCTCCGTGGCACCGCCGCCCGCAAGATCATCGCAACCCAGCCGTCCCAGCCCCAGCTCTCCGACTCTGCGGCGACAGCGTGCAGGCATCTGAGATTAGATTTTGGATCCTGTTCGTGAGACCCTGGGGCCTGGGGAGTTCTCTGCCAGGCGCAGGGAAACCGCCCGAAGAGACTGGTACAGAAAGAAGCAACCAGGACATTGCTGAGCCCTTGTCACTAGTCAGAGGCATGCCTGCCCGACGGCATCTGCAGGATCAAGAAGAACACGAGTTCTGAGCTGCGTCACCTTCCCGTGGAAAGACGATGAATCATGCGAAGCTGCGAAGGTGCATGCTTGCAAAACAAGTGCAGCTCTCACGGGGAGGCTACGCGCACGCGCACTATTCTCGGTCTCGAAAGGTGCTTCTGGACCCACGGATGCAGTGAGCAAATACCAGAACAAGCCAACCTACGTTATCACACAGATTATCATAGATTGTCAATCATAGGCTGCTACCTTACCCTCTGCGGCAGTCGTCATGTCCCTATTCTCGCATCCAGCCAAGTGTCGTTGAGCCGGCAAGCTTCACGGCTTCACCACGACTTTACTCGCACTCCACGGGGCCGTGCGGTTGCTGGCAGCCGTATTCGCGCCAATGCCATGGACTCGGAGGAGGACGAGGATGCTGTTGCGGCCCCGGTGCAGTACTGGTATCGGCGGAACATCTCGTCTTGCTCCGTTTCCTAGGACTGGTTCTGTGTGCTGCAACCAGTGGCCGTGCGTGCGGCACCGCGTGAGAGTGCTGCCCGGCGTGGTTCGCTGGTGCCGGGACAGAGGATACAGGTGGACCCGTCCCCCCCCTATACACGGGTAGAGGCCTGAGAGGCCATGACTCGACACATCTCCTCACGCTGTTGGGCTGCTGAGATGGAGAGGTGCGGCCTGGACGAAAGCAGGATGCAGATGGCAAATTCTGGATCAGGCAGGGCCACCCGGAGATGATCATATAACAATCGAGCACGGCAGTGGACATAAGGCTCACGCTGCTGGAGCTCTGGAGATCTTGCCGAGCCGATTCCTGAGACCGGCTTGGTTCGGCTGTCGTTGGGAGCACTGAGTCTAGAGGAGCTTTCAGCTATTCTCGTCATTTCGATAAGCCAGTAATGAGGCCACTTCCAGAAGTGCTCGAGGCTTCGTGCCTCTGGCAGATCAAGGTGAGGACTCTGCTGAATATTCGTGTTCCAGTCTGGTGGTCTGCGCGCAAAGGCTTTCCGGTTCTGCGCGGTCCCCTGGCGACCAGCGAGTGCCCTCTGGACTCGGAGCAGGCCTGGTTAGGTTCGGTTTCCGACCGTTCGTGTCCGTCCGTGTGTGTGGGCCGGCCTTTTGGACATGGTCAAGCTCTTGAGTTGTGTTGGATGCAGCTGTTTTTCCTCTGGGTGGCGGTTATGGACCAAACGTTTGGAGATAAGAGACAGTGTGAATCTTGATCATGTCGGGTTGCTTGCAGGTTTGCTGGACATCACTGTTTTCCAAACCCTGCCTACGTTGAGAAGGGGAGCGGTGGAGCTATTCAGGGAAAAGAGGGGAAACAAGCCAGAAGAACTGTGCTAGCAGAGCATCGAGACCCATTCTTGGCGACCGTCTGCCGAGCTTTGCACACTGTCAGATTCTCAATACCTGGTTGAGGGGTTTGCGTCACTTCGTCATGTGCGGATTCCAGAATACGACTCTATGCGACGCGGCATTCACACTGAAACTGTCAACATTACATTGCAGTTGCAGGATATGCGATATTCCAGTACCTCCTGCGATGCAAAGGGCACGAGACTGTTTGTGTTTGATGATTCGTAGTTCCTGCAAGAAGAGGTGCCCTCTGCCCTTTGCATCGCAGGAGGAACTGGAATATCGTTACAGCACTCCGCCTTCGCAGCACAGTTCTTACCCTGAAGCCGAAGCCGCTCAACGACAAGTCACGGTGCATCAAGTGTTGGTTCGGAAGGAGGTGGAACATGGTATCCGGAAGCATCAGAGAACGTGGGGATTCCTTGCCGCGCACATCGCCTCCGTTGTCCACGGGGTGACAAAGTTGCGTGGGACTAGGACAAACGAATAGTAAAGCAATGAAATCGCATAGAATAACAGAAGACCGTCAACTGCGTTTCAATACTTGACAGTCGGATTAAACTGTGACTATACCGATCGTGCGGATGCAACGAGTGTGAAATTGATCAGAGGAGCAGCTGCGGATCATCTGGATGTGACATACTTTGATGTCCCCAAGTTATTGTTAGGAGCAGGTATCAATCAAGTCTGTACCAGAGTTCGATGGGTAAAGGTCGCGTCTGGGAACGTGCATAGTGCCAACAATAATGGCACAGGTCGCAAGCCTCACTTGCCAGAAGATGTAGCAAAACAAGCGAAATTGTCAATAGAGCATGCGGGTGGGGTAGCGCATCCAGCCGAAAGATTTCTCGCGATTGACAGCTTCTTGGGCTAGAAGCTACTTAAAGCTATACATCTTGAAAGCTTTCGCTCTGCAGTTGGTCGGCTTCCTTCGCTGGTGGCCGTTGGACCCGTTGCCGCCCATGCAACCTGCCACGCACCTCGGACGGCTTACTCAAGGCCACCTTTGGTACGTTCAGTGTGTTCGTGCACAGCCTCAGTCAATTCCAGCTCTCGGTGAGCTTCTTCGCGCTGTGTCATGCGAGGTTTGGCGGTTCGTGGCTTTGCCACTGGGAGACAGCTGCCGGGCAGGACAACATCAAGGACAACTGCATGCATAAAGACTGTATGGTCCTGCACGGTACTCCCCCAACGAATTAGGCACGCCTAATCATGCAGAGCCACGCGGAATGTAGCAGACACAGCATTGGTTGATGTGCAGGCGGGAGTCTCGACATGAGTGGACAACTAGGTCCTAGGTAGCTTCTGATGTCTGATGACACCGCATAGGTGTGAAGACAAACACAGAGCATTCTTGCGCTAGGCAAGATGGCTTTCGCCTGGCGAGCTCCAGTTGGAGCGGGCCTCAAGCACTGGGAAAGCTTTGCTATCCTGAGGCCAAACCTTTTAATTAATATGAAGGTGACAGACCATTCGCCTCCCTCTCTCCTGCTCCAAGCACCGTGGCTAGGAACAAGCCCGGCTGAGGGCAGCCGGAAGTGTTGGTATAGCAGGTGTGAGATGTCGAGAGTTTGAGAACAAAGTTGAAGCCCTTGCTATACCATCGTTTCATTGTTTTTTGAAGGGCCTGCGGGCAACCCGCGAAGAAGCCCAGGCCCAATTCTTAATTGGTTGAATCTTCGATTGGTTATGTTTTCTGGGTTTGGAGATTCTTGAGCTTGGCATTGTTGAGGATGTTGTTGGGCTTGGTCCATCGATTACGGCCTTCTTGCGAAGCCAAATTAAGTAAGACGAAGCAGAAGAAACGAAGTTGGCGACTAATTTCGGCATCCAGCGATGGCTTTGCATCGTGTAGTGCTGCCGGAAAGCATTGCCGGACAAGTGCTACTCAAATCGATTCGTCAAGCTTCCCGTGTAGTGCCTGCGACGGTGAGTGCTGCCCTTGAGGTCGGCCCAGCAGGGACGAAGGCTGATCCTCCCTTCAGCTGAGACATGCTCGGTCTGCAGTGTCAGAGACAGAAGTGCCGACATCATTTGCTCTTCTAAGATAACGAGTTGTGCTTTCTTGGTAGCGCCGGGGCTAGTGCTGACAGGCAGGCGAGGTGTGCGGCTGGTTGGAGGAAGATATCGGCTTTGGGGCAGACTTCTCTGCAGTTTGACTGCACTGGGTTGCGCACGGAAACGAAGGAGAGCGAGCTGAGCAATGTGAAATCGCCCTGTTCCCAAGGTGGTCTTGATCCAGGAGACCACTGAGACCACACTCTTCGGTGCTTCAGATTCGAGCCTTGGCCTTGGCTCCTCTCGCGCAGGACCTGCCTGGCCTCGGCCGCTGCTCGCCCATCACCGCGCCAGCAGTCATGCACGGTGCTAATGCCCCAGTGTCTCTTCAGAGTTCTTGTGCCAGAGCTAGCCTCGAACATGAGATAACTCGAAACAACATGCGAATGGCTTGGCAAAAGCGAGGGGAGTTCATGGCCGCAGCAAAAGCTTCCTGCTTGCGAGCTCTTGAGAAGTGTGCAAGGGAGAGGCAAGAGCCACCGAACACTACGCACTGATGCACTACATTCTGCACGCCGACAGCTGACAAACTTGGGCTGTTGGTTGGAACAAACTCCGAAACCAGAAAAAACACAAAGCAGACAGCTTCCGCACGGCCAATGTCTCCCATGGCAGCTGTGCTGGCGGACGAGGCGGGGCTGGTGCTAAGTTGCTCGCAGCGGTTTTGAGGAGAGGCATGCTGCTGTGCTGTTGCAAGTGCATACTGTTGGAACAGGAGCATGCTGGCTCCCAAAAGGAGGGCTACGCAAACACGGCTCCAGTTGATCCAGGTGACTCTACGAAGCGCTTCTATTTACCGTTGCTGTTGACCTGCACTGTTTCCCCATTGATTGCCGAGATTTGCTGAGGCATTCCGCGCATGACGCCAGAAGTACTGGTGAAATCTTGTATGGATAACCGCGGCTACGAGACGCCAGAGCTCAACGAAGTTCTGATTCTCCACTACAAGGGCCCTGCGGCCGAACGGTTCCGTCCATGCCAGAAGCGGGGAACGGTGAAATGCCAGCTGAGGCTTCCGCAAAATCGAAGGCTTGGAGGCTTACTGGAATGTGCGATCGCTTTTCCTCGAATGCAACGGCATCAGAAAGCTTGAGAATTTGGAATGCATGCCAGAACTGGTCTCGTTGCCGCTTGGATGTTTCAGTCCGGTTGTTGAGTCGGGCACATGGTTGCTGTCGCCTGCTGCTTCGGCAAGGTATATTCAGTCCAACTGCATCGCTGAAATCGAGGGCCTTGACACTTTGCAGAATCTGCAATACCTCAACCTCTCGCATAACAGCCTTAGCCGAGTGCAGGGATTAGAAAACCTGCACCGGCTGGAAACCTTGAATCTTTCTGCACCCTGGCTGCATCCACGGAGGGTTGGCAAGCGCATTTAGGTTGAGATGTTTTGTTGGTCCCCATGCCAGTTTGCGAAGTTTTCCATGTCAGGCCAACAAGTTGGAGGACGTCGCTGCACTAGCGACTTGTTCTTCTTCTCCTGAGAATTGGGGGCTCTCTTTTAAGATGTTATGATATCCCTTGGTGACTGCAGGGGGCCGGGGGGAGGCTGAGTCTCTGAGCCCTTGGAGACTGACTCGCCGAGGCTGGGCTCGCGGAGCGGCCAACGCTGAAGAGCGTGGACGTGAGCTGATCCTCGGACTCGGAATGGAGTTCGGAAGTGTAGCCATGTGTAGCCCTCCCCTATGCACATCGGGCCTCAGATTTTCGGCCGGGAGAGCAGCTGGATCGTCTGATTTAGCCACGAGCTTGTGAGGGGAATGGGTGGTGACGCTGCCGTGATCGAGGCAACTACTTCGAGGATGGCGAGCCTCTCCTTGCCTTCTGGAGCGAGCATCTGCCACAGGTACATAGCAAGTCTAAAGTGTCGCAACCATAGGTTCGATGAAGGAAGCTGTGGCATACCACTTCTGTTTCGTGATCTTTGGAGGGCTTAAGAGTACCTTTGCAGAACAGATGAGGGAACTCCCGGAGACCTGCTCGTGCGAGCAGTGCCACACGCCATCCGTGCAAGCATCCCTACCTTGCTCTTGCTGGAGAACTTCCCCTGCCCTGAGGTGGAATGTGTGTACATACATCACAACCCTTGCTCGAGGGCACTCAAGGACGCCAGAAGAACCTCAGCAAGATATTGGGTGGCGTAGCAGCGTAGCACATGTCGTGCAGGTTGAGCTGGCTGCATTGCAACGAACTTGCCTTGCGCAAGAAATGCTGTATCTCTTGCTTCATATCCTGACTCAGCCTGGGCATTTCAGCTTGTCGTGTGCCGCCACCCAGGGCGCTTGGTGTCCACGCTGCCAAAGCTTCGCTGGATCGACGAGCGTCCCGTCACCGCCATGGCCGCTTAGCCATGCGGATGCTGGATGCTGCTACAGTAAGCTGCTCATTGTGCGGATGCAGCATGCAATGCTGCTTAGGAGAGGGCCGGCTGCGAAGCCTGGGCCCAGGGAGGAAAGGACGCAGAGCTTATTGCCAAGCAGGCGTGCGGGTTTTGCTTGTCTCATGATGCGATCTTTCCTGCCCTGTTCGGCTGTGCGGACATGCCTCTTCACCGTGCTTCGCGCAGCGGAGTCGCGCAGGACTTTTGGCGAAAGGAGAAGGAAGAGAAGGAACGCAGCTTCGAGAACTTTCGGCGCGTCCAGAAGGCCACTCTGAGTGACTCCTCGGAGAATCATACTCTTTCGACTTCGGTGTGTCGCAGTGCCTTGCAGTCCCGGAGGCTTACTCCGAGCGCGCCAAGGCGCAGCGGCAGGCTGAAGAGGCACGCAGCGCGGCGCGCCAGCAGGCCACAGCCGACATGGAGAAGACAGGCCCGGCACCCCGGCGCTTAGCGCTTGACAGTGCGGTGCAGAGTCCAGAGTGTTCGGAAGAGCGCCATTTGTTGACATGTTGAGGCGTATTGGCCGAGGGCTATGTTCTCATGCCGGACAAGACAAGACCCACCGCAGCACCGGCTGGAGGATATCCGTCTCACTCGGAGCAGAACAAGGAGGTCCTTGCAAAAGTCCAGGCGATCTTGATGAGCCGCAAGGAGCAGGCAGCAAGGGATGCTGAGACGGTGACGGTGGAGGTGCATGGCAGCGATGGTCTGCCAGAGGATGTGCCGAAGTCTGCTACCAGCACGAGCAAGACCGTGACGAAGCCGTCTGTGATCATGCATGAGCCCGAGGGGCCCAAGGACGAAGAATCCCAGCAAGAGTCCAAGGAGAACGGGAATCCGCAGCAAAGCCCAGCTGAGGCCACAAACTGTGAGCCCATTGAAGTGGAGAAGTCGCAGAAGAAGGAGCCACAGCTCGTGGCAACCGCAAAGGGTGAATACCATCCTCTGCGGCAGCCAACTGGCGAACTTGCAGATCTCGACTGAGAATCTTAGCACGTGCATCAAGGAACAAAGAAAGCACTCGGCCCCGGCAGAGATGTACCGAGACAGCCATGTGCAGTCATTTTGCCAAGGTCTCGCAGCCGTTCTGTGCCATCTCGCAACGGCGGCCTCGCTTGTGCCTGGCAAGAGAGGACAGATTCCTGACATGTGACAGAGCATGCATCAACAAGTTTATCGATCCATTTATTGGGTGGTGCTCCTCGTAAGTGCACTACTTCGTCGTGCGAGCCGTTATTTCAGCCAGCAGCGGCAACAACCACCACCACTACCACTAAGACTACCACTGCCACTGCCACTGCCGCTCTTTGGTCTGACATAGCAGGCAATCAGGAGGCTGGACAGGATGTCGACCTGTCGATTAGGTTCTCGCCCTCCCCCCCGAACCCGGCCCCACCCCAACAAAAACTTGTGGACTGTGAGTGTGAGATGAGCATGTGGGCCTCCCAGAAATTCGCGTTTTGATCGCAACTGGCTGCTGCCTTGAAACGCATATGCTGCCACTTGGTCTCGTCCACCCTGCTCCCAAGCTTCATCTTTGCGTTTAGATATGTGTCTGGCATGGTCCAGCAGAAGTTCCACGAGAGGAACACCTGTTTTTCGCGAAGGAGGTTGTTTGGACACGAACGAAGTTGGATGAAGGTCCACGTATGCAAGCGTGTACGTACTACGCATATTTAGCAATACTTATGTACGCATATGTTGCACATTTTGCGTTGATTCAGGCGTATTGACCAACACGCACGCGCACATGCAGGCACCGCACACCCGCGAGTTTTGCCTTGTAAATGCATGGAGAGTTACTTGCAGATGGACTCATACAATGTAGGCAAGGAAATGCAGACGACAATGCATGAAGCATAGACACACCCGTGAAAAGCACACGGCGACAGACATATGTACTCACTTGCACTGTGCTTGGAAAACTCTTTGCAGAGGGTGTGTCTGCATTCCCACATGCACCCACTAGACCTACCCAGCTCAACCCTCTCCCTCTACGTCGCTTCTCTCTTTCCCTGTTTTCTGCTTCCGCGTCAGGGCCCGCTGCGCGATCTCCTGGGCTGGGCGCCGGAGGGCGCTCGACCTGCACGCTGTGCCTTCGATGAAGAGAGCCAGGCCCGGCAAGGGTGCGCTTGGAGCATTGCAATGCTTGTTTACAAGTAGCTGTCTAATGCTAAGAGCAGCAGAGCCCCCTTGCTTCGATGAGGTCTCTGAGCAAGTGCTCGCCAACTTCGAGGCCAGTGGGAGAGACGGGGAACGGGATGTGCGGAATGCCATCCGGTCATTGAGTCATGAAGTGGTTCCTTCAGGCCCTGAGCCAGCTGATGGAGGCGCCCGCACAAACCGGAAACTCTGCCGTCTGCCGATCTCTGGCAGGCCGTTTGCCTTCCAGAGCACTTGGCTCCGGGCATGGTCTTCACCGTGACTCCTGGGGAGCTTCCACTGGCAGAGGCGGTTTTAGCACGGGCGGTTGGTGTGCTTCTTGTGGTTTTACAGACGGGTGACGAAGCAACAAAATCAGTCAATTGGTGTCCTCAGGTGGTCTCCGAGGCGTTCGGCCTCAATGCCGCAGAGAGGCCGGCACTTTACCTTTTGTTGATGCCAGCATGTTTAGACTCTGACCGAGCTTGAAAATCCTTCGTGCTTTGGTGCTGCCAGGCAGAAATGCCGACTGCTCGCTTGCAATGCGCCTTCGTTTGACTGGGCGGAGGAGGTCGGTGCAAGCCTCCACCAGTGCAACAGGGCCAATCGATCGATCGCATTGCATCCTCGTTTTCTTTGGTCGGACACATAAGGGGTGACTCAGTTCAACAGGCAGAGCTTCCAAGGCTTTGCGTCTATATACACCGTCAGAATTCGCATTATGTGCACGTAATGTAGTATGTAGTGGAGCTTTGGAAAAACAGGACACGATTGGGCACAGATGCAGCGTGCTGAGCGAGAAGGCCGCCACAGGCCGAGCACTCTTTGGAGCATCAGCCCAGAGCGTGCACCTGCACTGAAGGCAGGAGCTGCCCTTCGAGCCGGTCCTGGGTCTGAGAGGCGCCGCGCGGATGCTGGGGCGCTGCTCGCTGGCTTTGGGCTCCTCGGCTGTTGCGGCCACGATTCGGAGTCCATGCCCGGTGGCTTGCCTTCCTGTCCGGCCTGTCTCTCCGACGAGGTCCCTCTACACCTTTGAGGTGGAGATCGCCCGAGTTGGCTGTCCGGTCCTGCATCTAGGCATTGCAGGCAGGCGTTGCTGGTCCTGGGCTAAGGGTACCCGCCAGGTATCAAATTTTCGACTGAGTGGTGGCAGTTTCATAGATCATGCTTCCATGCCTCCTGACAGATGTGGTAACGAGCAGCATGTCCAAAATAACGCACAGCCGTCGCTTTGTATACCAGAGGTATTGTGCTCGCAGCGAAGCTCTTGGGAAGCCAGTGCTTGGCATTGCCGCAGTGCGGCGCTGCCGTCGACCCCGTGACCCTGACCCAGGCACATCAAGCGATGATGGTGAAAAGCCGCGGAAAGCCTGTATGCAATGAAGTGTCGCCAAGTCGAAACATCTTAAAATGCCCATTCTGTGCCGCTGCCAGACGAGCCACCGCCCCTGGCGCCGGGGATGGCAATCTCTTTGCTGCGAGGTCGCAAAGGGGCATCTGAATGCGTTGGATGTGTTGCGGAAGCCCGCATTTGGAACTCGCCGACCAATTTCAAGCTCGGACTGCCGCAGGCTTTGGAGGAGACTCATCCCTGATCTCAGCAAGCCGCAGCTGGACGGCGGCTTGGCAGAGAGTGCATTGTTGTCTTCAGGCTCAGGCTCGAGAGCGCTCGAACCGGTTTAGGAAGTCTGCGAAGCTGGGCCTAGCTTGGTCAGTAAGGTCCGGGAGCTGAAAGAAGTGATCAAGAGAGACAGCGGCATCCCGGAACACCAGCAGAGGCGAGCCCAACTTTCGACGAAGTGCATCGTCAGTGCACAATGTGGACCAATGACTGACGGTCGAAGTCACGGGGCATCAGCTGAAGGTCGAAGTCGCAACGATTGCACCTGTCCTGGCACAGGCTGGTCCTTGCCTCCTCGCAAGATGCTGTGGAGGAGCCAACGCAAGTGCAGAATTTCGGTTGGCTTGTTACAGCGCGGATGCTTATATTCTGGGTTTTGCAGCGTCATACGACGAACCGAGCCACAGAAAAAGATTCGGTCTCTGTTTCAGAGCCTGGAAAAGGCAAACAGCTGCCAGAAATATTAGTGAGTCAATGCGCCTCGGAATCGCAGGGATGGATTTGTGGCTCAGTGGCTGAGTGGCATGGTCAACAAATGGCTTCCCCATAGACTCACTGTTCGTCTCAGGGTTGTCCGCCGGTGCCCAGCGAAGAATGGACAGATCCATTGAAGCGTTTTCTTGTAAGGCAAATCTTACGGGTTCCGATGCCCGTGCGGTATGCATGTGTGTTGAACCAAGTGTGGTCAATGCTGTTGTCATCATAAGAACACGTCACGCGGTGGAACATTGGTTGTGGCCCGACTCCTGCCATATTGAACTGTCTGCGGTGAGCGGACGATGACTTATGTGACCAATATCCCGGTGCTTCTGAGGATCACCAGGTACTCGGAGAACTGTCGCCAGAGGCAGGATTGGTCTCTCAAGTCTTCTACAACTTCTAAGAGCACAACCTGATCGTAACATTGCTTATTATATATGCCTTGCAGGAAAAGTGTTAAAACCAGATTGTAACTTCGCCATGTCTGTTCGCAAGACTGCAAAGATAATGACTTCCACTTCCACACGTCTCGCAGTCAACTTCTATCAATACGAGGACATGCCATCACTGTTTCCTCTCTAAAGGGGTTTGGAAAGGCTGAGCTTACGCTGCAGCTGCTCTGCTTGGAGCCGTGCTGGGCAGCTGCCAGGCAGTGTCTGGACGAGGCGACCTCGATCATCCCGAGAAGTGCCCGTAGTTTCGGTTGCAAAAGCTTCTAAAAGACGTGGCCAGCACATAAACGAAGAAAATGCCCATGTGTAAACTCGTCTGTCCTCGCTCTCACTCTCTCTCTCTCTCTCTCTCTCTCCGTCCCCTGTCTTTCTTTCATTTTCTTGTTCTTGTCTTTTTGGCTTCCCCTAACTCTGTGTGCACGCCCAGACGCACACACATCTACAGACATGTACCTGCGTTTTGGTGTTCGGTTGTACTTGTTCCTCTGTAAGTTTGTTAAATTTGTTAACATAGACATAGACCTCAAGAGCAACAGGGACTGTGGCATCTACCGACAGGAGCCAGAGGCATGGGAGGACTTGGAGGAGGCGGGGTGGACAAGAGGCCTTCAAGAGGCTTTGACTGTACCGCAATTTCTCGCCCTGATTGCGCAAATGCACCCTGCTTGCGGTGCAAAGTGTACCACTGTCACAACCCTTTTCCTGGGCAGTGGGCAGTGGCGGTGTGCAGGATCTCCAGCGCGACCGTGCCTTGGTGTTGCTGACCGTCTCGCAGCGCCCAGCTTTGCTTCGCGGCAGTGGCTTCACAGGCCGGGCCGCAGGGCTTCGGTGTTGTGGTCAGATGCTGGCGGACTTGAGGAGACGCAGAAGTGGTTCTGGCGGCCGCGAGAAAGGTCGCGGACCTAGTGTGACTGATTTCTTTTGCTGGGACGGGCTGCACAAGCACACACATCTTCATGCCACGAGACCAAAGAAGCACGCAATGCCAAACTCTAGAATTAGTTGCCAATCAGCGCCGTCGGCTCCGATTGTTTACAGTGCCTGGGCAGGATCCAGCTATGTTGGATGCCGCTTCTTGGCTGCCTCTGGACGGTCGCAGGCAATGACTCGAAGAGTACGATGAATGTCGCAGCCCGTCGGCAAACACTACAACGCTTCTGACGGAGACTGGCGCACAAACTTGATTTTGACATTATAGTCTTGGAGCCATGCGCCAATTCCCTGAAAACAAGCAAATTTCAGCAACAACTGCCCTTTTGAAGCTTGCTGCCTGCGCGGATCTGAAGTCAGGCTGAGTACCGTCTATGGCTTGACGACTCTTTTGCAGAAGCTGCCTCTGTCGCTTGACAGAATCAGTAGGCGAGCCTGACCTCCGCTCTGCTTCACACAGCTGTCAGATCTGAATTTGGCTCTGCAGCACTAGACCCGCCAGAGCAGGGCCCAAGCCGTCGGATTGGAACAAGCAACCGCCTCGGCTAGCAAGCCTACCCTCCCTCTTCACCTCCATCAGAAGTACCGGAACATCAGGTCTACACCAGAGAACAACGCCTGCTCGTGCTGGAAGCATGGCAGGGCTACATTCAGCAGAAATGCTGTGTGATGCGGTCATGCAGAGGCTAGAGCCGAATCAGAGCGCAGTCACAGGTGTTGATGCTGGCCGCTGGCAGCTTCTACTGCAGTTTCTTTCGAAGCTGCGCAACGCCCAGTTGACAGCAGAAGCGCGTTGCTGCAATGCTGTCATCAGGGCAAGCGCCAAAAGTGTCCAATGGCAGTGGTGTCTCCAACTTGTACCAGCCATCTTTGCAAGCTCCGATGGGTACGATGAGATCACTTTGAACACTGCCATCACCGCTTGTGGCCTAGGACAAAACTGGCAGCAGGCACTTGAGCTGCTGTTCAGAATGCCGACTTTGAGGAAGGCCCCCTCTGTGATCAGCTTCAATTCCGCAATAAATGCCTGTGGTCAGGAATGGCGTGTTGCCGCTCACCTTCTTGACATCATCTCCGCCAGGAGACTCGTTCCGGACGCTATAACCTATGGCTCGGTCATCAATGCCGGGCAGAGAAGTGGGGAATGGCAAATGGCCCTGTCGGTGCTCGATCAGATGCCTTCTAGAGGAGTCAAGCCAGATCAAATCACACTCAATGCTGCTATCTCAGCATGTGGTTGTGCAGGCAACTGGGAGATGGCCCTCTGGCTTCTTTTTGAGATGAGGGAGTCACGGCAGAGTCCCAACGTGATCAGCTTCAATGCCGCCATAACAGCCTGCGACATTGGCAAGCAGTGGCGAAAGGCCCAGGAGCTGCTCGCCAGTATGGTGGCATCACAGGTGATGCCAAACCGCATCAGCTTTACAGCGGCCCTCAGTGCGGCCGCAAGGCAGGGTCAATGGCAGGTTGCGGTTCAGCTACTTTCGGACACAATTCCTAACCAGCTCACCTACAATGCAAGCATCAGTGCCTGTGAGAAAGGTGGACAATGGGTGCTGGCTCTAAGTCTCTTCTCGGAGATGCCAGCCAAGAGCATCTCACACGACAGAATTAGCTTCAACTCTCTGGCTAGTGCCTGCGAGAAATGCTCGCAGTGGCATGCCGCATTGTTCGTCCTCCACAGCATGTCTTTCAGTGCAATCCTTCCCAACCAGATAGGCTTCAATGCTGTGATCAGTGCATGTGAGAAGGCGGGTCAGTGGCAGACCTCTCTTCAGCTGTTAGACGACATGCCCACAGCAAAGGTGGTCCCTGATCTGATCACGTACAACGCCATCATCAGCTCATGTGAAGCTGCCAGCAGATGGCAAGCAGCACTTCAAGTGTTCGACGAAGTCAGGGAGGCCGAGCTTTGCCCGAATGTTGTGACATTCACTGCTGCGATCAGCTCCTGCGACAGAGATTGCCAGTGGGAGATCGCCGTGCAGCTGTTGTCTGACATGGGCCCGGCAGCAGTAGAGCCGAACCTCATCAGCTACAACGCCGCCCTTAGCAGCTGTGGGAGACGTGGGCAGTGGCAGGTACTTATTCTGCTGCTTTCTGACCTCATTCTGGCAGCGCTTGTGCCGGATGCTGTAACATGCCGCCTTTCTGTCAGTGCTTGTGAGAAGCTAGGACAAGTGGGTCCTGGCTGTGGTAAAACCCTTGCTTCCCAGTTTTGCAACTTCTGATTTAATTCGAAACTCGCCCGGATCCTGAATTCGCTCCTGCATGACTTAGGGTTGCTGTTTGGATCACTCCGTACGCACAGCCCGCTCCAAATTTGCATGGCCAAAGCATACAAAGTCACTTATGGAAAGCTGTGCTGTGCTTGGGTGGCTGATATACTGCAGCTAGTCGAGATGTGAAGCAGGTCTCACGGTTGCGACAGACTTCCTGTCTCTCTTTCTGGGGAGTGCTCACGAGAGCTTGAGTGCTGGGGATAGCCTGAGGCCTTTTCAAAACTGAGAACTGCCTGCAGGCAGGAAAAAGTTAAAAGGTCTGCCTCGGCCGAAGGACTTCCAAGCCCTCTCAGAAGTCTGGCAGAAATTGATCGCCCCAGGTCCATGGAGCTGCCGCTCTGAGAAGTGCTCGGGCAGCACTGCTTGCGCTGTCCGGCGAGGCGTCCGGGGCACAGGGGCGGAGCAGAGGCAGCTTCTGCAAGTTTGCGTCCGCAGGACAGCGAGCCAGGCCCAGGCCAAGTCCCTCTCACGCTCATTGAGCCTGGCCTTGTCACTGTTTTGCGTGCCGTTCATGGCAGTCGCTCAGCAGCTTGCGGCAAAGCACCGTGAGCTGGCGAAAGCAGCACTCCGGAAGGAGCCACTGCGCACCAAAACCGGTGCTTACAAGTGGAAGCAGCATAGATACAGTGTGGATCGGGTCAGGTAACGTGAAGGGGCGAGCGTGAGTTGGTCTAGTGCGTATATGTAAGAGCAGACTACAAATGCCATGAGAAGGCTGCAATCCTTTGTGCTTCTCTGATTTGCAGGACGGCCGGGCCCTGGAAGCCTTGGACACAGAGCTCCGGACAGACTCCGAGCTGGCTGGGGCCACGGATGGGCGCTAGCAGCCTTCCCGACCTCCGATGTAATCCTTGTAGGCTCGCGGGTTATCCGCTTGCTTCAGTGTTCTCGAAGTGGGTCCAGACCAACGAACACGGGTTGCTCGTTCTATTCCTTAAGCCTTAGGCACTGCCTGATAGCACACCGTGTGTATGCCGAAGTGCTGGCACGGACCGCCGTTCACCCTCAAATTGAATTCCTGCAGCCAAAACTGCTTGAGGTTCACATCGCCATGGAGAACGATGCCAGAGCACTGCAGTTCGCAGCAGAGGAGTCCCGCGCCAACTTGCACCACGCACAGCTTTGTCAATTCTCGTGGTGTCGTGGTCGAGGAATTGCGAGATGACGCTGAGTTGGTCCTTGCAGCAGTGCGCCGGCGTGGCCAGGCCAGTGGAATTCCTTGCTCAAAACTCCACAGAAACTCGTCGCTATTCGTCGCTCCTCGAGCAGGTGCTGCGCTGGGCCTCCGAAAGGCTGCGAGGGGAGAGGCGACCTGGGCGATCCATGCGACTTCTGGCTGCCGGAATTTTGATGTCCATCGGATTAAGGCATGTCGCGCTGACGGCCATTGAGCAGGCGCGAACTCTCGTGAATCCGCTACTCGTTATCTGGTTTCAATGGTGTTGCATCCATGTCTAACAGGGTCCCGGCAGCCGGTGTGCAATCGGGCAGGACCCACGCGCCGTGATGTTCGTCTCAGAGGATTTGGCTCGGGACAAAGAGGTGGGAATGAGCACTTGGGAATGCCGGTAGAGATTGTCCAAACTGTGGCCAGGTACTGCTGGCGGCCATGTCCAAAGACCCCAGCCTTGCCGTCCACCTGGCCAATGTCGCCAGAGGGACCGGGGGGTCAGAAAAAGCACCGGCAGAGCTCAAACTTCCAGAAGATTCGTGGCTTCCTCCGCCTTCGAGCAGCTCCTGGGTTTCAGCACTGCCTGCAGGATCGCCTGAGCACTTCCCAAGCGACCGCCGGCGTGCAAAAACGATTAGCTCTGATTTCGGACTATAGACTGAGTTCTCTGCTGTCACCGCTACGCTGCTAGCGTAGCCAGGGTCTCGGCAGTTGATGGTTGCTGGACTGCTTGGTAGAATCCCAACGCAGGCAACGGAGTTGCAGAAGCAGCGCCACGGCCTGGACCTGAGACTTTGGTGATGCGTCCGCATTGTACTGTCTGCTGTTCTACAAGTGATCATAGCTGAAGCCGAGTTGATGCGATCGTTTTTATGTGTGATGTTTTTGAGTTTGTTCAGGTTTGATAGAAAATCTGAGATATGGAGCATGAAATGTGGCCCCTGGCATACCACCTACGTAGTCGGCTGAAGCCACCATCTGATACAGTCGCATTTGCTTGTTACGGCTCTAACAAAGGGTTCTTGCTTGCAACTGACGAAGTTCCAATAGTAATAAGGTAGCAAGTCCATGTGCAGCTGCTGAGGCATTCTGCGAGACGTCCTTTGGACAGCTTTGGAGGTTACCTGCGATAATGTAAAGTAAGTTGGTGGAGCCTACGATTTCATTTGCCAGGATGCCGGGCTTTACATGGAGCGAGTAGCGCTAGTTTCCGGGCCAGTCCCTCAGCTTTCAAGCCGGGACAGCTGCTTCATGGGCTTGTGGAATAGGTTGCATTGCCGTGTGCAGAACTACATGAAGTCGACGCAGTATGTGTCAAGACTGTACATACCTCCGGCAACCCAACACCTCCCAATAAGGCCGTTTGTGCTTGACAACCAAACTGGCAAAGGCCGGGTGAGTCCGACAACCACCAGGCGATCCGAGATGTTGTAGACCCTTCCCAGCTCGCGTCTCAGGGAAGCAGGCATCTCTGATATGTGGTTACGCTATAGGGGCTCAGCTTCCCTAAGGAGCAGCGAGGCAAGTGGAGTCGCAGATGAGGCGAAGTGCTGATATCCTGCAGTGGGCGTGGACAGAGGTGATGCAAGCATCTGAAGCCGCTTCTCCCTTCCAAGGCTTGGGTTCTGGGCTTGACGTCGAGTGCAATTCGACGAGAAGCCGAAGAGCAGAGGCTTCCCGGCACTCAACACGGTTGAGAAGCTCCAGGGCTCAGTTGAGAGTCTCCCTTACACTTGCTAGCAGAAAGGCTTGCTACTCGCAGAGCCTGCAGCTGAGACCGGCTGAGACAGCGCAACGCTTGAGTTCTCATGGCTTCAGGTCTTCAGATTGCAGACCCCCGAGGGTCTCACGAAGACCTTCTTGCGATGGAAGTCCTACAAGAGCCGTCCCCAGCCCCTGAAGCGCCAAGCTCCGAGTCTGCTGCCCGCGTGCACCCTGGCATAGAGGCGATCGCCTGGTCCTGGGCATGGAGAGGCGGTCGGCTTCTTAGAGAAGCGTCCTGACGGGGCCTGGCCGCGGCCGGCGGGCGGGGGTCGACCGTGGCATCGAGGCAGAGTCGGAGTCGGAGTTCAACTCTGCGCAGGCGACCCTCTTCGCACGTAGGCGACCTAGGCCCAGTAGCCGGTAGGCAGTACAGTTACAGTAGTGGGCTTGTGGCCGTTTGTAGCCTTCGCGGGGCCACTGCACGACGTCCAACGGGCCAGTGGTCCAGGTTCTTTCGCTACTCTACCGATGCGCTTTCCAGGCTGTCTTTCCCAGGCAGTCGCCAGCACTGCAACGATTGGGGAACTCCTCTTTGGCAAGCACTGTGCAATCGGCCTGAGAGGACGAGCGACGACATACCGGAGGAGTTCCGGGTGCCTTGACTTGAGAATCACGAATCTGGATCGAATGGATGCAGCTCCGCATGCAGAGCATAAGGACCTAGACCTCCTGTGCCAGAGGCATTCAGTCGGAGGCTCATGTATGAGGGATCTGGCCACCGTGACGGCATATCACGTCCAGACCTTCCAAGGTGATGTCGTTGGCTCTGCATGGAGCAGTGGTTGACAAAGTCTCCTGTCTTAATTGCATTGCTCCACAGTAGTGGGTGCATGAGAAGCTCCTTGCATTGCCAGGTCACAGCGCTCCACGACCCTTCTCAAAGTTGGGCCCTTGTTTTCTTGCGACCGGGCGCATGTAGTTCCACGATGCACACGCCATCAGAAAGTGCTGCACCAGCAGGGCAACGCCTTTGGGAGCTCTGGCCACGACTCAGAGGAGGGCTTGCCTCGGTTGCCGCCTCTGTTCCTTGTGCATCCGGTCATTGCCGGGCGCATGCAGACGACTTCTCGCTCAGATGCCCATTGACAGCATTGTCACCTACTTTGGCATCCATACTGCCGAGGCACCGTGATTCTGAGATGTGCAATGACCAACATAATACCTGTCACATGACATGAATCCCATTCATGTTCATGGGCATCCCCGTGTCAATTTGCCGTGCTTACGTTTGCCTGCTTCACTAAGTTTCTTGCACTTGCTTTGCAGCTGTCCTTCTAAATCGTATGGTCGTATGGGCATGAGATGGGATGCACCAGCTGCATTTCCCAAGTCAAAGTGCAGCGAAGAACTGTGAACGGAGGACTAAAGACTCCTGCATCAAGAGCGTGTCGAGAAGCAGGAACTTCTCGCCTTGATCACGTGCGGTTGCAATCTGCGCAGTTCAACAATAATTGCAATTCGTCGCGGGTGGCTGCCGTACCAGGCCTTGTAGTACCAGCTTGCGGCAATTAAATAAGTGCAAGTGCCAGCTTGGCAGCATGCACAGTTTGATTTGTTGCTGTCGGTCGTGCGTTTGGTGTCCCTCCGCCAGTATTTCGCCTTCCTGCACGAGTACGCGACGTGGCTCCTGCTGCCTGCCGTGCTCGGGGTTGCCGTGCAGGAGCCCACGGAGTGCACCGCACGACGCTCTTGTCAGAGCAGATTTGTTGTCGTTCATGTCATCAGCGCAGGCAGTCCTAAGCCTTGGGCACGACGGGCTCGACGCGGTGCGGGGCTCGTGCAACTTACTGCGGAGCTGTGCCCAAGAAGTTTCCCAGGCTGAGCCGAGCGTATTATTGAACAATCTGACAGCCTCTGACAACCCTGCAAAGCGGGTTTTCACCGGAGCCATGGTAGGAGCTTTCGGTGGTCACGAGTCGGTCTGAGTCCTGAGCAGAATCCAGAATTCTGAGCTCGGCTGCAGGTCGCGGAGCCCGGGCCCCGAGAGCGGAAGCGGAGCAGCCGATTCATCGCTCGCAGCAGGGTGGCTTTCCGAGGCGCCGCATTTCTCAGGCCTTCATGGTCTTTATGTCTGCCCGAAGCTAACGAGCCGGAGTAGGGCTCAGCCCTTAGAGCCTTATAGGGCCTTGAGCCAGCTCTAGGTGTGGACCACAGCCTTCATCGAGCACTGGAAGCGCTGCCGTTCCGGACTGCACTACCAGTTCGGAGCGAGGCACTCTACAGCCACATAAAACATAGTCACTGTAGTGACCATGCTGCATGCAAGATATCTAACCGGTGCAGGCTGGAAGACCGTCAAGCAGAAGCGGAGTGTGAGGCCAGGCAAGTCGGCATTGCACTGCAGCGACTGGCTTGGGAACAGCTAGATGGAACTTCTGCTGCTTGAGATATCTTGGGGCTTTTACTTGACAGTGCTTGGCAGCCAATCAGAGCAGCAAGTTTCGTGGTGAAGCCGGGCAGCGTGCAGATGCTCAGACCGGGAGGCTCCTGCAGCGTACTGCATCGAGACAAAGCGCTTGCGGCCTACTGCCAGTATCGCAAAGCAGCATTGAGCTTTGCAGAGGAGTTCGTAGAGTCAAGTGCAGGTCTGGCACGTGCCTTCGCTGCTGGCTCGCGGCAACGAGCAGAGTCGGACCACAAGGTGACCGGCGGATCCGGTGGGCAGGTAAACGGCAAGGAATCGTTGTGTTTGAGCGGTGGGCCCGGGCCAGGTAAACGGCATGGAGTCTGGAGAGAAAAAATTGTTTTTGTTTGTGCAGTGTGCCCGGGCCAGGTGCATGACCTGCCGAAGGATAAAGAACAGGGCTTGGCCACTTTGCCTGAAGTGATGCCATGCCATATCAGCCTCACACCTCAAGCGACGCATGAGTCCGCATGAGCTTTTGAAGGCCGGGTTCCTTATCTTATTTCGATTTCTCCGGACGGTGCCTTGGCAGCATCGGGGCCTGCTGCGGCTCTGGCTTCCGAAGATTTCGGCAGGTCGTGGCGATGAGCTGTTTGGCTGCAGCAGCTCCGGTCCCGGAGACATCCAAAAGAAGCCGCTGTCCTGAGAGCACCTGCGACCTGAGCAGAAGCCAGGTTTCTGGAGTCGTCTACTTGCTGCTCCGACTCGGTGAGGCAGAGCCATGCAGCACACGGCACGGCCACTACATGGGGTGCACCTTGCAACAGATAGAGATAGAGCGCGACATGACAACCAGCAGACAACGGTCCATGTGTTGCGGCGACTGTCCTTGTTCGACATCACGGCATGGATGCTGCGTGGCAGATATTATCTACAGCTCAAGAGGAGACACCTAGGGGGGCTTCCTTCCAGCTGTGCAATCGACTGAACAAGCTGCAGCACAGAAGCTTGGCATGCCTTGATGGCCTGCCTCGCCTTTGAAAGAAGAGAGCGGGCAAGCAATTATGGTGCATGCTTGCCAACCTCAATGTGGTCAGATACTGAACTCAGACCTGTGTTCTTGAATACCGAGGACAGTGTTGTTAAACCTCAGATCAGCTTGGATCAGAAGCTGCTTTGAAGCAAGAGGACACGTTTGCGAGCATGCTGTATTGCAGAAGAACACCCCCCCTCAGTTATCCGAAGACACCTGCCATATCTGAGAGCTGTTTCATTGGTGGATTCGGAGTGGTTGCATTACACAGATAGTTAGCTGATAGCTGGTACAGTATCAGTGGTACTGATATTGAGCGTGCCAATTCAGGCTTCAGCTTTCATGCTTGCACGACAGTGAGAGGGACAGCAGCAATGCGCCCATAGATGCGTGTGCCAGAGGCGTTGTACAGGCTTCTCTTGCAAACGATGCGCACTTACGACACCGCGCCGATGAATGCTGAACGACAAGGAAAGAACAAGGCCGCCGTGAAACCATTCAGTTTCTGGGTGCTTTGCCGACATGTTCTCAGGACAGAGCTTGCCTGTCCTGAGTCAGGCACGGAAAAGCTTTGCAATCGATGCCTTCTTGCAGAAGGGCAACTCGAGCAGCAAGTAGCTGTGCTGGTCTGCAACCGTCATGATAGGGGATTCTGAGTCTGCGGCTGCAATCAGAAGCAAGAACAGTGTATGCAAAAGGAAGCTTCCATCTAGCGAAGCCTCAGCTTCAAACATACGCAGTTGGTGAAGCATCGTACCACGGACTAGCAAATCCTAAACCCTTTTACCCCAAAGCCCCTTTGCTCCAAGCCTCTAAGCCCTACCCTAAACCCACTAGTTCACTAGTTTTCAGCATTTTGGCCCTTTTTGGCCCAGGCCTTCAATGGCCGTTGGCCGTCTTCATGGTCTCAGTCCTCGTGCTCGGCCTCCTCCTGCGCAGCTTGCCCGAAAGGTTTAGGGTTTAGGGGTATTACTGTGGGCCCTAAGGTGGTAGTATGATATAACATGCCCATTGGGCAGTAGGATTGCTAGGTTCCGCGGCACTGCATAATTTGTGCAATCGCTAGGGAACGAACTCGAGCAGCACTTTGGGCAGGTGCGCTGGATGGTTTATTCTTCTCAGAGGAGGCACCCGACGGACCTGCTTCAGGTGTCCAGTATTCTCTGAAGGGGAAGAGTTGGACTCTAAACTTTAAAAGCGGCTCCTGGCATCGCATCTGGGAAGGAAACCTCCTCCTGCTGCTGGGAGATCGGCCTCTGCGCTGCGGCGACCTTCGGACTCCTGGTAGCATCGGCTCACTTTCTTTAGACTTTAGACTGCTGGTATCTAGCGGCTGGTACTCGCTGGTAGTGAGATCCGAGATTGACACTGCACTGCACCTTCGCCCAGTCAGGACTGGCAGTAGCGTCTCGGCCTGCCAAGAGCAACAAGGCTAGGAGCTTCCTTTGTGCACGGGGGGTCTCCAACTCTGAGTGTCGCGAGGCTCCGAAGACATGCCAGAAGCAGCTCGTGGCAGGTCGCTGTGCGGCCAAGCCAGCGAAGCTCCTCGGATCCTATCGGCTCCGTAGCAACATTAGTGACCAGAATTGCCGATTGAATCCAACCTCCTGGCGGGCAGTCGCCTTCTTCAAGCCGCTGCACAAACTGGCATTTGTTGGGTGTGGAGGCCAGTCAGCAAGCCAGCAGGCGATGATGCCAAGGCCGGACATCGCATGTTTGAGCAGTTATCCGCACCGTTTTCCCGGGAGGTTGCTGAGGTGGTCGCTGCAGTTCGGGCCGGCAACATGGAGCTTGCCGAGGTCCATGCAGTGTACCTGTTTTTCTTCAAGAGAATGAGCCCTCGGTTTCTGCAGGCCAAGCTCCTCCTGCTGTGCAATTCCTGGAGGCCACGCGATGGATGCGGAGATTTTGCAAGAGGGACTGCCTGAAGATGCAGGCTGAAAAACGGTGATGCCGTGGAGTCTGTCAATGCCCAGACCACGATGGAGGTGCGGCGTGTGCTAGGACACCAGCCACGTCCCCTACGACGATTCTAAGACTTCGACTGTGAAGTCCCTCCGTGCTCCCCCAAGAGCTTCGCCTCACAGCTCATTGCGCCGGGAGGCGAAGATGGCGGAGGAGCGATGGCTCAGCTTTCTCGCGGAGAAGGGCAGCTCGGACCTACTTGGCGAGAGTGTCGAATGCCAAATCGGCCCGCGATGGCCTGAACTTCCCCTCCCCTCACGACTCATGACCGGCCCTAAAGACCCCTGCGCAGACGTGCCTTTTGGCACCGAGCCGAGGCATGCTTCGAGACTTCAACGCGGCAGCTCGGATGAGGAGAAGTTTAAGTTCCGCTCTGGTCACAGCTCCGTCGTCTGCTCTGCTGAGGTGATCACCGCAAACGCGAAAGAAAAGAACCCAGTCGCAGCCGAGAGGATTGTAACGTTCATGTGCAAGTGCCTCGTATAGCATTGAAGATTATCTCTTGGGTCTCCAGACGTCGTGGAATCCTCGTCAAGGTTGTCTAGCCGAAGCTGCGGGAGGCTTTTGGACTCATCTGAGGCATGGTATTGAGCCGGACGTGATTACACTCGGCGCCGCCGTCCACGCCTTTGCCCATGCTGGTCAGCAGAAGGAGGCGGAACGTATGCCGGTGGCCCAGAGTCTCAGCACAGCATTCGGTCAAGGCTAGGTGCACAAGGAACCCCGCTGGCAGGTTTGACCTCATCTTGACCAGGGGCAAAACGCGCCGGAAGCTTACAAAGAACCACACCACAGCCTTGTCATTCTGTTGTGAGTGCTGTTCAACATTAGACTTCCCAGAGCCGTGCACGGTTCCTGAAACAGTTGTCCGGCTTGTCGTCAGGCCCAGATGTCATCGGATTCAATGCGTTGATCGATGCATCCGTCAAGGTCCCTAGTGCGAGTCTTCATCGAGAGATCCCATTTCAGTGCATCCTGCGAGGTCGGTGATACGAAGCGTGCAGAGTATTGGCTGGAAAGAATGCTGGAGGCTACTTCAGAGGTTTGTTACTTGTTGTGTGTAGTTGACTGGGCTTGACATGCCTGCGTACTTTGCAGCCCCCTCCCTCATTCCAACTCTCTGCAGCACGCTGGCTGTCCCAAGATTGGTCTGGAGCCCAACGTGGTTAGCTACACGACGGTGCTCCATGCCCACGCCAAGCACGGAAACATTGAGGCGATGTAATCGGCCATGTGAAGACCTTGCAGAGCCTGCTAGCCTATCGTCAGAGATTCCTGCTGATGCTGATTCGAAATGGCTGAAGCTCTGCAGTGCGTTGTGCTCGTGCAGCCACGACATGAAGCGTTGTAAGCGATTTTGCGAGGCTGCTGAGACCATGATGAAGCTGATGAAATCAAACGGAATCGCAGCCAACGTGGTCACTTATACGGCCACTCGGCATGAACCACCTGCGACGAAATTCTGTAACTCCTGCTGACACGGCAAACACAAACACGGTCGGACTTGAGAAGTTTCTGGCCACACCCGCTCACCCAGGCCCTCGTGAATGCATGTGTGAAGGCTGGAGATCTACCCTGTGCAGAGAGGCTGGGAAAGTTGCGTCGTATCCGTGGCCGAGGCACATCTGATGGTGAGTCTTTCTCCGCTGCAGCGCTGCAGGTGGTTTGATGAGATGCAGAGTGCTGGGATTCAGGCTGTCTGCGACATGGCTTACATGCTTTAGTAGCAATGGCGACGTGATTGGACAGGCCAACGCTGTTTCTTACAGTGCGCTGCTGAATGTGAGCGCAAAAGCGGGCGACTTCAAGCGACCTTGCCTGCATCAGAAACATGTTGCTGCTGCACGCAAAGACACGACGCCCAGGATGCCCGGCCCGGGTCATCCATAGGACACCGCGCGTCACACCCTTGAGGGTCCTCCTGAAACCTTAAGTTGCATCGCAAGCCAAGGCGGGCAGAGCGGCTTCTGGAACGCATGTGTCAGGACCGCGTGACGCCCACGGAGGACACTCGACTTAGCAGTAATTGGTGGTGATGGTGGCAGATGTTTGACTTTAGGGAACTAACTTCAACAGGGACCTGTATCATGTATCATCGTCGTCGTCATTGTTCACGTCTTGTTATAATACCGTTAAAGCTAAACACGGTGGTCTGCCATGGTTTCAGCAGCATGCATGTACTGTATGCTCGGACATGTACGAGTGCTTGCGCATGCATGCGCGTACAAACAAGTATGCAGTATGCATGTCTGCAAGTTTGTTTGTCGCAGCCGCAGCATTGACCAGGTCTGCTTCAACAATGTCATCGATGCTTGTTCCAAGGCCAGCGATGCGAACAGCATCGTAGCAGGACTAGAAGCAGCCCTGCCCCACTTCCAGAGGCCGGGCAGGCAGCCCGCGCAGAACACTGGCTGTGGCGCTTGGCAGAAGGCCAGGGTTCGTAAATGCCATTCCGTGTGCTTTTGCACGTGTCGACCGCATGTTGCAGAGGCAAGGATCTTACCGCCGACCTTGCGCCAACACGCCAATCTTTCACTGCTGCTGCGCAGGCTGCGGACCGAGAGGTGATAGCGTAGCTGATGTCGAAATCGTCCTTGTACTTGCTAGCAGTGTTTCCAACAATTTCCAACTTATTGTTGCCAGGCACATGCCAAGCTGGGATCTTTCGGAGACGTGGAACGTCTCTTTCGGGCAATGGAGGCTAGCCGCTGCAGGTAAACCTAAGTTGTGCCAGCACAAGCCTTTCGAGCCTTCTATACGAGGTCAGGGGCATTTCGATGGATGCCTTCTGCCTGACCGTTCAACTCTCTGCTTATGCACGAGCACGCCCACGCCAACGTGAACGCCTCGAGGACCCAAGATTCTTGTAGGAGCATGCTGCAAGCAGAGAGGCAGGAAAGTGCGAATGCAGCTAACGCAGATGTGGTTGTCGTGCCAAGTCAGAAGACATGTAAAGTGTGCGCAGCTCAATCCCATCGAGGAGGCGCTTCGCAAGTATCACAGCCAAGGGTTCCTTGGCGGTGCGCACAGGCTTCGTAGCTCCCTGCTGGTGACATGGTCATCAAAGCCGTGTTTAATCCTTCGAAGCAAGCTTGTCTGTCTGTATCCCAGGCTTGCCATCACCAAGCCGCCTCTCCGTGTGGCGAAGCTGAGCAGCAGTCAATATCTGTTGAGCTGCTTGCAGTGGTTGCGAGCCTAGCTCGAGCGGAGAGTAATGGCACTGTGAGGATTCGGGGTGATTTGAATTTGAGTGTATTGAGCCTGGGGCTGCTAGCAGCTAGCGCGGATTCGTGGAGTGTGCCTGAGCCGAGGAAGTCCGTCCTTGGTGCGCAGCGCCTCGAACAGCTCTGTGCCGAGATGGGCATGAAGGCAGAGCTGAGTAAGTGCGAAGGTAGGGGGTCGGTAGAAGAACGCATCGCCACGTTGCTTCTGCATACTTCTTCCTTCAACTTGTGGCATCGGGAGGTTCCTGACCTCAGTGACTTCGCAGAGGAGCGTCGGCCCTGGCGGCGGTGCCCTGGCCAGAAACAGACGCCGAGAGACGGGGCACATTGACGTGTCAGCTTTCCACGTTTGATTGGTTTTGCGTTGCTTGGCTTTTGTTTTTGAGAAGGGGTCGGCGGTCCGAAAGCAGCGAAGAAACCAGTGACGAAAGGACGGCGTGTTCTCAATAGTTTGCTGGGAGCCCGCAACCCAAAGCGCAGGTATCAGCTGCTTCTTAGCCCGGATAGTGCTTGGGGACGGTGGGAAGCTTTCCTCGTAGAACGAGAGGTTGCCAAGCGAAGCGTGGCGTAAACCTTAAACGGGCCCTACCGTGCAGAAAAGGTGGCCCAGAAACACGGGGGAAAAACACCAGTTCATGTTGCGCCTTACAGGCACTGATCCCGCATCGTCATCATCGCCTACCTCCGTCAGAGGAGTTTCGGATCGTGGCCACATGCCGTAGCCGTAGAATCTTCAACTTTCAGTGAAGAGAAGGGCTCATCGAACACAACAAATACCATCACGGCTCTAGTTCGTGTTTCAAGATGTAGCAGGTCTTTTGCATGCCGTGCCTGCGCAAAGCATGCGACCCCGCTTCCGAGAAAACCTCTGAACAGAAGTTTTGTATCATGGGTTTTCCGGGTCTGCTCGCGGAAGGATTGGGCTCGAAACCATACTAATGACTCTACTAGTTGCTAATGATGAATGACTAGTGAGGCGAGCTATCTCGTTTGTGTTTTTAAAGTGCCGCATTGCCACCGTGTTTCATTCGCGAGCATGGCTGGCAATCTTCAAACCGAAGGTAGCCAGGGCCCTTTAGAATACCCGTGATGGAAACGGCCTGTTCTCTCAACCAAGAGAGTTTTGAGTTGCCACACATAGCAGCCTGCTGGGTGTAGCGCTGCGCCTGCCGCTAGTTGGGATTGTCAGAGAATGCTATGTCCGAACCGCCTTGTAAAGTCCTACAGGCAAGCACTTATCTTTGCCCGGCTTGTCGGCAGTCGTACCATCTCAGTAGACTCGCAGTCCTTTCGCAGGGAAAGTGGGGTGACGAGGGGTTGGCTTATGCTTGTTGCTTGACCTGCGAAGCTGCTGATGTCTTGGCCCTGCATGGTCGTAAGAGCCGGCAGTGGCCGCTCGCTGAGATGGCCAGGATGTGCTGTGTGTTCGGCAGCTGGATGACAGGCCGTCCAAGATGTCGGGATGTTGGGAAGCAGTGGTGTTAATTTTTCCCTTTACCGGGATACTTGGGGCACGACGTATCGGCCGATAGAGGTGGGGACATACCAACTTACTCCGGTCGAGATTATTCCAGACTCGTGCAAGACATATATCATCCAGACATCGGGCAGCCAAGAGTGCTGAATTAATGCGCAAGCACCTTCCAGCGGTATGTCAGCAAGCCATGGAAGGTGTGAGTCGTGGGAACCACTAGTCCTGCTGCTGCCGGTGCAAAGGGCATGCAAGAGAAACAAGCTCTGTTTGGAGTAGAAGTCAGAGGCTTGGAACATCGCTGTCCCAAGCCCCAGACCCCGGAAGAGGGAACGTCAGCATAATTTATCATCTTTCCCAGTTCCAACCTCTGCCTTCTACCGTAGCTTAGGATATTGACGGAAAGCAACGCTTGTTGTTGCACTGGGTCAGATGGTTCTGTCTTGCTCCCTTCGCACCAAACACAACAGCAAGTCTTGTGACGCAGATCAAGTCTAAGTAGTTTTGTGGCACGCCGGTCAGGAAGCTAGAATTGCACCTCCACTCATGCCAAGACGAGCTGCTTCATCACGCTAGGCACGTTTGAGTTGGTCAACCTAGCTTCAGCGAATTCCTAGCATCCCACTGCGAGTCGTCAAAATGTGCCGGTGATTGCTGGCTAGTAGGGAAGAGGCAAGAGGTGTAGACATCCGGACACCGTCAGCATATCTACATGTGGTGTAGAAATAGCACTGACAAGCTTCCTGTCGCACTTGCCAAAGTGGCGACCCATTTTTGTGCGGATCCGATGCGCGGCAGCAGGCAGTCAGGAGTTCCTCGAGGTGTCCTGGCTCGAAGACGCGAGAAGCATTTTTGCAACTGCCAGCTTCGAATCTGCGAACACTGTGAGCTTGAGACGCGACGTCACGAGGCAGTCCCAGTGCTGTGATGCTGACCAGCGCCGGTCCGTGTTTGCGGGATGAACACTTGCCCCGATCGAAGTGGTTCTGTGTCCGAAGGTGTCTGTTGGCTACGCGTACTTGTAGCTAGAGCTCACAGGGAGGCCTTCAATGATGGTCGGTTGGGTGCTTGGACCTGCGATCTCCCCTGAAAGGGTGTTCTGTAGAGATACTTTGGGCTAGCACCGGCTTTGAGCAACCAACGGTCAGTCTGTAAAGCCACCATCCCCAGGCAGGCGGCAGGGGCAGGAAGGTGCAAGAAGAGCCTTCAAGACTCCAAAGGCGGCAACTGATCGCAAGAACACTTTCCTCTCTCTGTACATTTCGCCGGTAGCCAAAAGGGATCACTGCCTTTTGCCGTGGCTGGGCTGGCCTCTGGTTCTGCAGAGACCAGGATTACTTCCCATGACTTCGCCGGAGGCCTGGCAAGGAGCATAACTGAACACAGACAGAGCTAGGCCTCCGGGTAGTAGTCATGTGATGGCATCCTTGGGCAGAAACCAGACGTAGTGCGTGGTCAGTCTCGGCTTGGTGCTAACCCGGTCTTGACTGTGGCAGGCGGGCATTGGTTTAGGGTTTGGTTGACTTAACCTGATGTTTGCAAATCCCTGCAGAGATGCCGATATCAAAAGACCTTGACGTCTGCCCAATGCCACATGTGATCCGACAACGGCCGCGAAGGGCATGTATCAACGTTCCTCAGAAGGTCTCTTCAGGTACTCGTACTCATGGTTCATGTCTTGCTTGACTCTTCTCTTCTTCATTCGAGACAGGTGTGCAACGGATCTCAGAACGAGTCGGTGCAGCAACTTATGTCAATTAAAGACCTCTGGTGGTACTGAGTATGGGGGGGGGGGTAATTATTGATGCTGCCACGGCCTAAGAATGCCTTCTGACCGCGAATATGTGCCTTTCGCAAGCCGTCGCCGGAGGACCCTCAGTTGTTCCGAGATTTTGGCACAAATTGGACGGGTTTGGCCGGCAGCCTGTTCGGACGCACTCAGACGGGTCATAGAACAAGTTGAGTACGGGAGGAAGCTCATTGTCGAGAATTCTTGGAGCGTTCTGAACCGGAGTTCTGGCAAGTAGAAGAGCCCCGACACTGTGCACTGCATGTTCAGTTGAAGTCAAGCCGTTGAAGATTACACGCTGCATAAACGGCCAGCGTGAAGATGATGTGAAGTATTTCAGAGAGGAAAAAGCTCGCTGGCCATGATGGAGTGATATGGCACCTTCATATACTTGAACCCATGGCGATCCATATCAAGCAGCTCTGAAGACCTTTGTGGTGGTATTTCGACACTCTGTCTTGTCGACGCGTGTCCACAGGTTGCCGAGCAGCAATCGGACAGTGTTGTCATCCAGAACGCGCCTGCCATGGCCTTGTATGGTCTAATCTTATACATGTACGACGCAGTGGCTTCGCTGAGATTCGGACTAGGCTGCCTAGGCGTATGTGCGATTGTAGATGCCTGAGGCGACATAGGTGTGGAACAATCAGCACTCCAGCTCTAGCTGACTCCAGCTCGCCTGTCTGTTAGACAGGCCCGCCTATTCGTGCAGTGGCTGGTGCAAAGTGCAGTTCCCACTGAAGTTGCGTAAGACGATCCCCGCAGTTTTCTGTGCTCTGGTCCAGACAAGGTTGTGATCTACCTGATTGTGGTAAGCCTCATGGAGAGGCTCACTTTGGCTGAACTCTGTACTGGCTTGCTGCATTCTGCGGGATGTTGAGTGCAGGCTGTACCAAAAGGGGGTGTCCTCGTTGGTGCATATGGAAGGTCACGTCAGAGACCTGGCTGTGAAAACCTCGTAGGGCTTCTTGATCATCTGACCAACCGTGGCATGTGTGTACCAGAATACGATATAATATCGTATGCTCAGGTCTCGTATGCGGAGCATTTGAAGTCGCTCATTTCGAAGGTGCATTGCATTGCAGTACTTGCCCATGACGAAATGTTGCTTTAACTGACTGAACGGCAGACACTCTTCTTTCAGCTGGTCAACTATTTGGGTGCCAGCCCAAGATGACAGCAAGTCGTACCGATGCCTGATAATGAGCAAATGCGCCGCTGACTCTCTCAGCTGCGCCTCCATTAAGCATACTTAAAGCACCAGAGGCGTGTCACGGGAATCTGTGTGGCAAAGTCACGATCGGATTCATGTCGCCAAGGTGGACTTTAGGCAGCAGCTCTCATGGTTTAGTTGTGGCATCACCCCCAGACAAATCTATGGAGCTTTGTCATAATCCGAGGTTGGTTCTTGTATGTGGCCTTTTGCATCCAAGACTTGGAATACCTCAGGCTCGGTCGGCTTGGCACATGTCGTAGCATGATGTGTGAGTGTTAGTGGGGAGCGGGCTGAAGCTAGATGCATCACGTCTCCACTTGTCAAGTTCTTTGCAGATCGCAGCTCCTCAGCTTCATGACCGTGAAACAGGCCGTTTCAATCCGCTTCCTTCGCATACCTGTCCATGCAGCTACAGTCTGACCAGCCATCGCAAGGAAGAAGGTGCAGTAGAGGTTCGCACCTGTTCCAGTTTCCCCTTGCAAGTTTCTACCGTTACAAGCTTCTCTCGTTTGCAGCTCCTCAGCAAAGCTGATAACCGCGACTCGTAGCAGAGATGACTCTGCTGTAATGAAGGTAGGGTAGCCAGTAAGAGTTCGGGACGACTTCCATGCGGGAAGGCCAGCAATGCCGATGCTGTAGGTTGTTGCAGTTGCGCAAGAAGTGCTTCTGCCAGTCGGCAGCTTAGCCACCTCTTCATGTGCCGAAGAACTCATGCTTGCTTCGACAGCAGCATGGCTTAAGTCATCCTGACAGCGTGCTTAGGTCATACTGCAAAGATTCAGACGCTGGCAGGCTGTGAATGCCGTCATCAGATGGATACAAAATAGAATCAGCATCGTCAACCACTCTCCCTGCCTCTGCGGCTTGTACATTCTCAGCAGCCGGCAGGGAAAAGCAGCTCAAGCTTCCAGCAAGGAGCCAGACGTGGGATGCTAAGACTTCGTTCCATGGTAGCTGAGAGTCTGAGAGTCTAGGTGTTGGCTGCCAGGCACTTACTTCTTCGGCAGCTGCGCCTAAGACCAGAAGGAGCGGACCTTAGTGAAGCGAAGTGAAGCGAAGCTTGCAGCTTCTCGGGGGGCAGACTCTTGACCCGCAGGTGCGCCTCTTTGCGTCGGCTTGGTACTCATGCAGTACTGGGCGATGTGCGAAGCTTAGGGTTTGTCAATGCAGCTGTGGATCGCAAGATCGTTTGCCGTCGTGCTCCTGAGCCGCCACACGCACCAGGTTGCTTTCAGAGTGCAGGATTCAAACCTGAGGCATGTTTAGCTTTGGTTAGACTCAGACGCTGTGACTGCCAAGGGCACCTCACTGGAGAAGGATGTTGGCCGGCAGTTGGCTCTTGCTCCTCGGCAGATGAAGATGATGGATCTTGGTAGTGGTATCTTGTGGTGGAGCATGATATAGAATCAGTCCCCGTGCAGGACAAGACGGACCTCTGCACCGAGTACCAGCAGCTTGTCGTGCTCTTTGCGCTTACGAGCTCCTTTGCTGCCCAGTCCCGAGACCTTGACTTCTGGTTCTCACCAACTGAGCATGTTCGGGGCTGTAGCTCTGCAACTGTGCTGACAGATCGCCTTTCCTTGCGGCCCGTTGCTGGCGCTAATGCACAGCTACGTTTCGAGGCTGGGCACAGACATGGAACTGACTACATGATGGGTTTCAAGGTCCAGGGAAGGGTGCATGGCGTGGGAGGCAAGCATGTGTGGGATGCTAATTCAGCACCCTTTCTCTCGTGATGCCCGGGACTATTATTGGGCCAGTTGCAGTTGGTTGAGCTAGAAAGAGAGAGAGAGAGAGAGAGAGAGAGAGAGAGAGAGAGAGCTTTCACATGCTTTCAGGCGAACAGATGGTTACAAGTTCCTGATGGTGCGCAGCGAGCTCGTGCAGCTTCCATGCCGTGACATGCATCCCATTGAGCATGTCAAGAACACCGGTATCACTGGTCATCTGCCGAACATGCTGTGTGGCCTGTTACCGTTTCAGAGAAAAGTCAACTAAGATTAGTCAAGCACTTGTGGTCCGGGGTCTCATGCAGGAACGTGAAAGCGCGGAGCCTTTGTTCTGCATTGGGGTACGGATAGAGATGGCAGGTCAACATGCTCTCGGCGCCCAGTGCAGCAGATGGAGTAAGCCGGCACAGAACTCGCACTGCATGTCAGTGTCAAGAGTTAAGGGTCGACCTGTCGCTCAAGACTCAGCCGTGTCAGACCTTGCCAGGTCATCTCGGATACCTGGGTAGAAGTTCTTGAGGATCGGACCTCGGCTGTTGTCATCCAACCTCGTGTATTGAAGGGTCCCAGCTCAAGATTGCACTTGTCAGACAGCGAAAACCGAGCACTCGCCATGTGCACACCGTGGGCCATCAAGTATGCGTGCAGTCGGGCATCACCATCGTGTAGACGTAGTACGACCCCCAGTGGAGTGGAGTAGCTACCCGCGAGAGGCCCTCTCGATTGTGTCAGTGGTGTGCAACGTCGCCGTGCTCGCGGTCTCTGGAAGCAGGCAGGTTGCACTGTGGGAGTCGTATACTTTGTTTCAGGTATTCATGGTAAGGAAATGAAAATTGGGACACCAAAGTTGAACAAACAAATCAGTCAGCGTGCAACCGTATACATCATCATGCCTAAACTGCTGTGTTATGTCGGGCTCACTCAGTCTGCAATCTCTCTCTTCCGACATACTCATACAATTCTAGCTTCAGGTCTTGCTTTGCATCTGCGTTCATACTTGGCCTCACAAGTCGACCGAGACGAGAATGGGTTTCTGAAGTAAGTCGAGCTTTCCAATTTTTGGGCGGCCACCGTGGAGCAACCAGACGTGTGCATGAGTTCGCCTGTGCGGGTAGGTGGACCGCACTGTCCTTGGCGGTGCTGGAGCATGCGCTGCTCATCTTCAAGGTGGGGCATGCTCGCAGAGTCCAATTCAGATTCAGCAGACTGAGGAGTGTTGCTGCTGTTTTTGCATGATATGTTGGCACTACGATGGTATTGGTTGTGGTGAAAGAACTTGTTATTCTTCCCTTGCTTCTTAGCATGCAGTGGCTCAAGCTTGGGATTCAGCCGCATTTGGGTCTATCAGCCGAGCAGGCAAGTGTTTGCAGCAGCATCATGGCCGAATTAGGGAGCATAGCTTGCGGAAAACCGGAACTGGGCCTCGTCGCGTGCTCCCTGATCCTCTCCAAGATGAATTCAGAGCCGGATCAGCATTGGAAGGAGGCGCGGCACAGGCCAGAAGATCAGTCAGAGATGTGCCGGTCGTTCCGCCGGCCTCCAGGCTCCCAACTGCGTTCCACCGTTCAGATCTCGGACCTCGTCGAATCAGCTCTGCGCTCTTTGGAGTGTTGATCAGGCCAGTACCACTGGTACCGTGCCTGGCCGTTGGGCCACCAATCTGGGGCTGCCAGCAATGGATGCAAGTGGCGCCGGGAGTGTGGCATGCGCCTCAGTCTGTGTGCAAAGTCCTGCTTGGCTCAAGGCAAATAGTTGAGTCACAGTGTTCCGAACAGAGGTGTGGAATATATGTCGAGCCTTCAGTATGTTTTCCTGCAGGCAGGGCCGGGTGTCCGACTATCAGTCGCAAGTTATACATCTGAGAGCATTCAAGGCTTAATGTGCAGAATGATGCAGATGCATCAGAGCACAGGGTGTGGATTCATTGGTGCCTTGTGCAAGGCGATCCCTGGTGTGGAGGCTTCTCCTCTGCTCCTTTGCCGAAGATGAACTCTGTTCCTGCAGCCTGCCTCATCCCGAACGATGAGACTGGAAGCACGGACATCACGGACCAGGACCTCTCTGTCCCACTAAGGCCCTTCATCAACACCTTGGGCACTGCCAAGATTGTCTAGACTTGCGCCAAGCCGCCAGGAGGAACTTGCCGGCTTGGATGCAGGGACGGCATCGAGCACCACTTGGGAGGACGTAAGCACAGGGAGCTGTGAGCTCTCTGGGTCGTGTTCCTCGGGGCCTTCGAGCCTGGCCCGCGACCAGGACGACCCCGAAGATGAAGAGAGCGATGCTGCCGCCTGCTTGCATTGTCAGCTTTCAACCGATCAGAGGCCTTGCAGCGTAGAGATATCCGAGGTTGAGCTCCGAGGGCTGCCTTTTTCAACAACCCTGCAGGCAGGAAATTCAATGTGAAGATGCTTGCAGCAGCAGCTCGCTTGTGCTACAAGGAGATTCGGGGGTTCCTCAAAGAGCATGCTACACAGTTGGCAGCGCTGAGCTCAGTGGACATGATCTGACTTGGAGCTGTCCCGGAATACTTCATGGTCTCGAGATGCAATGCTAGGATACTGGAATTGCCCTCAGCGCCTGCTGCTGAGCAGTTGACTTGCACGTTTGTACACTGCTTTCCGTGTGTTGCAAGTGTTTGCAGGTGGTCTGGACATTTTCCATAATATAGCTCATGTGCATGCACGCGATCCACTGTGTGGCTTGCCGAGCACAGGTGATGAGGGATTTACGCCCCTCTGGAATCGCAAATGTCCACTTTCGCACGAAGGAGGTGCGGGAACTGGAACAGCTGTTCGGAAGAGTTCTGTGCAACTCCACGAAAGCTGCATATAGTTTGTAGATCCCCGCAGGCCTCGCTTCGTGCCATTGATGCGCTTCACATGAAAGAACTTGGCGGCCGGTACATCGAGGCCAGCTGCCAACTGTCAAGGCTCAAGGGTCGAGAAGCGACGGACCGACGCAAGATGGTCCACATGATCAGGTTGGCTTCCGGGCGGAACGACTGCAGGCACGAAAGCAGAAAGCTCGGGGCACAGCGGCTGAACGTGAGGAGCCGCATCTCGCGCTGATGTGTGTGCCGGAGACGGCGCAGTTTTTGTCGGTCCGGCGTCCTGTAGGAATCGCCGGTGACGCCGCGCTGCAAAACGCCCGCTTTTATTCTGAGGCCCACCTGCCCATGATGCCCTATCCACCACGTACTTAGACTTAGACGAGAAGTTCGGTGGCAAAGCACAGAAGCCTGTATGCCAGTACCAAGCCGCGAGGACACCTTCGCCGCCGCGATTCTGGAAGCAGGAGAGTTCTCATCGCAGTCACGGAGCTGCATAAGCCCGAAGCGCCTGCGCACCTTCACGTAGGCATCACGCTTGTTCACAGGAGTCTTACCAAGACGCATCCTCCTTTCTCGGAGCCATGAAAGCAACAGGAGCTTCCGACCGTCAGGGCAAGATTGAAAGACAGGTTCAAGACTCAGACTGACCAGGAGAATCTCTGGCGCCGGAAGTTTGCGTGAAGGTGCAGCTGCAAAGGTCATCACTTGTCTCGTATCAAGACTCGGGGTCCGAGTTGTGTCCTGACGGGAGCATTCGGAGCATTCGGATCGGACAGGTAGAGAAGTTGGCCGCTGTAGCAAACAGCAGCCATGGTCGCACATGGCTCGTTGCCCACGCTCTTAGGTGCCGCCGGTGCTGTCGTCGATGGATCTAAGGAACCCAATGCCAAAGCCGAGTCTGCACCAACTCAGGAAGTCATGGTCACAGAGGATCAGAAGAGAGAGTGTGCCGCCATCCACTCCTCGCAGATTTATGCTTGCCTAAATTGTGGGACCACGCTGGCCGAGAAGTCCACCCAGCTGCGTCATCGCAATTTCTCGGAAGTTGGCACCAGTGTTGACAAAGACGGCATGGGGTGGCCTTCAGTATCGGCATATATGCTACGCAACAAAAAAGACGATGGCCGTGGACTCTCTGGGGGTAGAGCTGCCACGATGTCCGACATCGAGATGTTTCAGCGTGACAACATTTTCTTTTGTGGCCTGCTCGGCAGCCTGTGTGGTAGTGCTTGGAATGCCAATATTTGCCTCAGCACTTGTTGCACCTATGCCCGTGCCTGCTGTGCAGCAGACGTGGCAGACGAGTCGCTAGTGAGTTCAACTTTGGATGATGCATTCTTCGATGAAATTTTCAACAAGCATTTTGGGGGCACGCTGCTTCGTGCACCGTCCCCGCACGAAGACACCTTCGGATTGGAGAATGCAGTTGTCTGCGATCTCCAAGAGTGTCTCGTGGATCTCGAACTGAGGCAGGGCCGCCTCTTTCAGCCTTGTAAGGTTTTCTTCAGGCAAGATGAGAAGCTTGGTCTCCTTGTCGAAGCTATTGCGGTAATGGACAGCGAGAGCGCGCAGCCTGCGCTTTTCCAGAAGCAGACTTCTTCCCTTAACGAATGGCTGTGGGCAAAGCGCATCGCGGTTGCCGGGGCGGTTCAGCGCCACCAGTTCGAAGAGCACCTGATTCTTGGCCACATGGTCATGGAGACCTTCGTTTCGCTTGCCTATAAGCATTTGACTGCAGATCACTATGTCTTCAAGCTATTGGAGCCAATGTGCAGCGATGTGGGCTTCTTGAACCGCTCCTGGGGACTAGACCTTCTGTTGACCAGCGAAGGAGCACCCTACGGATCCTTCCTTAAGTTCATATCACCGGCATCAATGCTCTCCAGGAGCGGCTTGATCCAGCAACTCACTCGAGCACGGGAGCGTTTCGACCCTCGGTCCTGGTTTTGGTTTGACCAAGGAGGCTACATGAAGGGGGGTTCCGGAGTCAAGGAGTCCACAGCGTTTCCTGTGCGGGACACAGCCGAGAAGCTCTTTGATGCGATGCTGCTCTGGACAAGCGCCGTGGTCGATACTTACTGGGAGGAGCAGGATGAAGCACTCCAGTCTTGGTGGAAGGCACTCTGGTGGAACCCGATGAAGCTTGCAAAGCGGAAGCTTTCTCAAGACACTTTGTCGCACCTGCTTGCCACTTGTATTCTGCAGGCCACCTATGTGCACGATTTAGCCCATGAGGCTTGGTTGCATGAGAACCACTCTCAGCTAACCTGGACCTTGAGAGACCGGGCGCCAGGATCGACTGATCCCAGGGATTACCTGCCTTCCGCAAAAGAGCAAACCGTCCACCACTTGCGGCTCATGGCTCTCAATGGATCCAGCCTTGAAAGCCCCATTCTGTCTTATCGAAAGGTTTTCCCAAAGGAGAGCCTCCAGCAACAGTTGAAGACTTTCGAAGACAGCCTTACACGAATCGTCCTTGCCACGCCTTACGTGAAGAGCCTTGGCAGTATGTCTCACTGACAAATTTCGTCGTCAAGTGCGGCACCAGCCCGGAAACGACTAACCAGTGATCCGGTGGTCCGCTGTAAGCGGCACAAGGTCCGCACTTTCTCTTGCATTTTACATGCGACCGAACGCGGCCCAAGGTGGCCGCAGTGCTGGCAAATGAATGCAAATGAGAGCTTACGCTGAGATCAAAGAATGGCATCGTTGCTTTCATCAGTACATCCGTCTTCTGCTTCTGATTTCCAGCCTCAGTTTCCTTGCTGTGGCCAGGCGCCATACCCAACAGCTCTACCTTCAGTTGAAGGCCCGCCATTGCCTGTAACTTGCCAGCAAGATCCGCGTCGCCGAAGCAGATTTCAAGACAAGCATTTTCGTCCGCTACTGTAGCCTTGGGTGGCTGCTGAGATCCTCGTAGTCACCCTGGCCGGTGCACTGCATGGATACGCCAGGCCGCGACTTAATGAACTCTGCCCATCGCTCTGCCTGTCCAGATCCCAGATCTCAACGTTTGACAAAGCAAGTCTAAGTCTTCCTGCTGCGATGTAAGGCTCTGAGCAGAGCCTTACGCCTACGGAGCTACAGGCGGGAGCAAAGTCGCACAGCAGTCCACTGACACCATCTCGGTATGTCTTGCAGCTGGACTCGTTTCGCAGGGGCTGTCCAACTCCGTTCGATAATGAATCAGGTACTCGTAAACCATCCTAACACATCGTAAACGTCATGTGACACGACATTCTGGCCTTGCAACAAGTTGTCTGCACGGCGATGCTCGCCATACCGCACAGGAGGGCACAGACGATGCCACTGCGACAGTGCCTGGTTCACTTGTCGAAGACATTGTGCGCCTTGAACCCAGCGAGCTCGCAAAGTTACGGCGTAGAACAAACATGGCTGCCGAGCATGAGCTTGCCATGATCCCGCGTCGGAGCGGACTTTCAATATGTCTGAGTTTCAGAACATCTTCTAACTTACGGTGCTGGAGTTTTGCAATCAGCCAACATTGGCAGGCACAGCTGTGATATGAAAGTCAGTCTGCTTAGGTGGTTTAGTAGTGTTCTTTCCTGTCGGCTCGCCCATCCTAAGTAGATGCCCGAAGTGCCATTCAGGAAATGAGGGATTCTGCCAAGGCTGGGCAAGACAGGAAGTACTTCTGAGACGCTCAGAACTCGAGGTTCCCTGGGCCTGGTTTGGTGTTTGAGTGCGGCTCTTTCCTGCTTGTTCGCAAGAGCAGCGTGGAGCAAATGCTGCAGCAACTGTGGCTGGAGCTTCCGACGGCAGTCATGTGTCTGCACTGTGCTATGAATGGTTGCATTGCGGGCTCTGCAACTTGCAAGACTAAGATCCCTGCTGCAGGCGTCCATAGCTTCTAGCTGAGCATATGTTTACATAGAGTAAATTACCAGCCTTCGCCGTCGGCACCTCGGAAGAATCTCAATGGCCACCGCGTTTTCCTTGTGTGAGGTCCGGCTCCCAGGCTTGTTGAAAAGCATCAGTATATCAGTACACGCGATCAGGTCCGCTTGATCAGCACATCTGCATGGCGCAAAATGGTGTTTGTGGTCAGATTTTAAAAAAGGTTTGGGCCGGCTGACCGAGTTTGCAACCTTGGAACATACAAGGCCAGTCCAGCACCCGGGCATATGGCCAACGACGAAGAATGCTACTATGCTCCGGTGGCAGGCTCCAAACATGTCATTTTTGGGTCATGCCATTATACAATTATACAGTCGCACAGGTTCGGTTGTCGTGGTTCTGCGGGCTGCGGCAAGTGGGATGCTTTAATCAAGCTTTGTTCCTTTCCTGGCCCAGGCGACGAGGACGGTGCAGACCAAGGACCGCCTCATCCGGATCATCTCTCCACGGACTAGCAGATTTCAAAAGTTGTGCACATGGCAACCCCTGTGCTGTGCGGCAGGCGTTTCAAGATGTGCGTGCAAAGGCGACAGCCGCGTCCGATGCCAAGAGCAGGAGTGAATGCTGTTGGGTCTGAACAGTTCGCCATGAGGGTGTTTGCGTGTGCTTCCAGGCGTGGCCTTGCCGCCCTCCTCCGCAGCTTCGCCGAGCGTCGGCTCCGTGGACAGAGCGCGGTGTCGAAGGCTTCGAAGAGCGGAGGCGAGTCGAGGCGAGTTGTCTCTGCTGTGAGGCCGTCTCGGCTCTTGGCACGGAGCGAAGGCAGCGGCACTCTCCTTGTCAGAGTGTTAGGCGACACTTGACATTCTCTGTTCAGGTGGACGGATGCGCTTCATCTGTTTACGACTGTGCCTCATCCCGACATCGTCACGTTCAACGCGACAATGATGCTTGCCTAAATGCCTTGGCCTGCAGGAAAGCAGAAGTCTGATTGTTCGGCCGGTGCAATCATACTTCCACGACCGTCAGGTTTGTGTCGTGATATGTCGCGTTTTCAATACCGTCTGATCTGGGCTCGCTAGATGCAACTGAGTCCGAACTCCCTGCAGCTTTGGCTGAGTATTCGTAGACAAGCAAATTACACAGCCATTTGATTCCAGCTGAACGTTGGTAAGGCTGTAGAAGTGAAGATAAGTGGAGTACGGACTCAACCCAATCGAGTGTCGAATGGGAGTTCCTTGCCGTCAAGGACCCGACGTCAGTGCAGGTCACAGGGCCAGTGTTCTTCGAGGAAGCGCGCCAGTCGCTCGCGTCCCATTGCAACTGAAATCGGCAAGACTACATCGGAGCCCCTTCCGGAATTTATGGTTACCGAAATGCCGAAAGAACTGTTCGGTTACGAATCAGTTTCGCAACAGGAATGCCTCGGCTTCGAAATCCGTGGCCTTCGACCCGTTAGCGTCTTCGGGACGACTTGCCGAGGAGCGCTCTCGGTTCAGGGCATCAGTGGCTAAAGGCCTGGTGCAGTCCTCTCATGCGGTGCTAGCAATTTGCCACGGGTACATGCTCCAACTTCTTAAGAGTGCTTGCAGACCCTGCGACTCTTCGGCGAGATTCGTGGAGATTCACAAGGCTCTCGGTGTGTCCCGCCTCGAGTCGAGAGTCCACACAAAGTCCCACTGGCATGCTGGCGAATCGTGCAGGTGCGTTGCTGAAGGCTGACGTGATTTCGTTACCTGGCTTACAAGCTCTTGGTTCCAGACGGAGCACTCCCGCGTGCTAATTTCTCAGTAGCCACGTGGCAGGGTGTGCCAGGTTCTTTTCGAAGGACTGCTGCAACAACTGCTCTCTGAAGGTTGGCTGTGTAATCGGCAGGACATGTGTGTTTTCCAGGTACAGCAATGCCATTCGGGCCAACGCCGCATTGCTGCTGTGGGAGGAGGCGAGATCTCGTTCGGCTATGGCTGCTTGATGTCGCCCTGGGCAGATCTTGGCAAGGCTGTGCATCTGCTGACGCGCATGATCTCTTTCGGACCTAAGCCGGATCGGCTGGCGCGGCGCAGCAGCACAGTGGATGGTGATGCCTGGTGAATGGAGGGAACTGCTCCGCTTCACAGCTGAGGTGCAACCTGACCCTCGCCACATGTGCAGAGCATGGCAACGCAGATCTCGCTGCCAGCATCGTGGCATCTCTGGTGCATTTGAGACAGGTTGGAACTGCCTTAGTTTCGTCTCAAGATGTCTCAAGCCCATGCCCATGGCATCCCATAGTTTGATCACAGGACCCCAGCTATGAGAATAGACAAAGCTGCGTCAGCAGCAGTGTCACAAGTTTGTGGCACGGCATGCCAAGGAACGGATGCGGACACGTCGTCAGCAGCTTGATGCCCCTTGGTGCTATCTCCCAGTCAGGAATGTCCAAGCTTCTTCATTCTTGATCGAGGTCGTTGCACACAACACCCTGGTCGCAGCTCTTGCTCGCCAACGGAGATGGCAGTCTGCCTTCGCTGCGGCCATGTCAGCGCCCGCCCAGGACAGCTCCGCAAGACAGGCACACACAAACACACAAACACACAAACACACACACACACACACATGCAGATTTGCGCACACTTTCACCCAGACACGCTCAACCATAGAACTCACAATTTCCACCACACACCTTCCCTACTCACACTCGCTTTCGTTGTGTGTGTGTGTGTGTGTCCAACCCTGTTTCCAAAGGGCATTATTTTTGGATGTCGCTGACGCTGATGGCAGATAAGCAGGGTGGTCAGGAATCTGCGAGTGTCTGTCCTGGCCAACGAAGACCAGACACCGCAGAGGTGCAAACGTACCTGATGCTCGGTCATGCAAGCCCAGTCACGCGCCCGCAATTCAAGGGGCCGTTTGCGACGATCGGCTTGGTTACCGAACATAGAGCCTGGCTCCATCCAGGTGTCCAGACCCACACGATTGGAGGCTGCGGATGAATGCAGAAGTGTTTGTCTCTCCATTTATGTTTCCTTTCGTCTTTCGGTACTCGTAGCTCGCGTTGAATCGAGTGCCTCCCGATCACACGGCACTGACGAGCCGAACGCTCGGAGCATGCATTCAGAAGTTTGCCACAGCAGGGGCGTGCCCATCTGCAGGTTGGGCCCATGTTAGAGAGCTCATCATCAAGAAGCTTGGGAAAGTACGGGGGTGTAGATTGTGCGGTCAGGATGTCATCACCTTCAATTCATTGCTGGGCATCTTGGCTGCCATGGCATTGTCTGAATCTCAGGACGCAAGGCTCAGGGTTCAGTTCTTCTGGAGGGCCCCAGAGCCCTCTTGTTGTCAACTGGATTCAGGGCAGGTTCGATCGACCTCAGGAAGTCTCGAAGATTCTGATCGCTGGGAAGTCGCTCTCGAAGTTCTACGCCAGATGAGCTTGCGAGGCTGCCGATGTGGTCTGCAGTCCATGTTTGCTTGTATCCCTGTGTTGAAGCAGCATGCGCGAACCGTGAGCAGCTTCCCAACGTGCCTTGACTTGCCGAAGGCCTCCGATTGGACGGCGTGACGTGCCTCGGCTTTGGCTTTGCAGCAAGCCTTGTGTTCGCAACTGTCTCGGAAAGCCTCTTACAGCAGGCACCGCGCCGCAGCCGCGGCCTGCGGGCAATGTTGGCAGGCGCCGTATGGGAGCCCTGAAGCGTGTCTGGATGTCAAGACATGGCCCATTGCAATCTGTTACAGGCAGCACTGGCGTTGATGAAGACGGAGGCACCGGGTGTCAAGCGGCGGTTTGCAGATCTTTGCGGCTGTTTGGAATGCGCAGGCTTCCGCTGACCTTGCGACACTCACAGCACCTGGACTCACACAGTGACACAGTGTGCAGCCAGGGTCAGCATCTGCTCGTAGCTGAAACGGTATTGTGAAACCTCAAGCCTTCACCGATGGTCACGCTTGGCCTGATGACTGGCTCAGATCCCATCAAGCTAACAGCTGAGGCGATCGGCACAAATTGTGATAAGGCTGGCAGCTTTTCCTGCTACAAAAGACTGGCAACGATTGCAGAGCCACGGGGTTCAGGGTCATTTCGGCTTCGTCAGCTTCTATCGTAGCTCAGCTTTCATGTCCCCCAAGAGTCCGGGAGAAACTTTGAAGAGCCTTCACAGGCAAGTCAGTGGCAGATTGCAGTGCACCTGTTGTCCGATCGCGCCGTAGACACTGCTGAAGCCTGAGCTTCGAGATGCCTGTTTGTTTGCCACATCGATATCTCAGGCATGTTCTGGGTACCCATATAAGGTTGCCAAGACCGCTCTTATCTCTGCGAGCGCGACGGGTTCTTTATGGCAGGCTGCTGTGCAGGCCGGAGCGCGAGCATCCTCGCACGGCCTCCGAGTCCTAGCCGAAACCAGGTTGATTATCACACGGCCTCGCCTCAGCGACCCACCCGACTGTCAGATGCTTCTCGCGCTGAAGCAGAGAGCCGATGCAGTGGTCGCTTGTCGGACAGGAATCAATGTTGGATGTGCTTCTGTCATTTCGAGGTGACGTTGGGTTGATGCAAGCTATGTCACAGAGGCCCCTGTCAATGGCTACAGGCTATGTGAAACCAGCGGGATGCAGAAATTCTTTACATCCTTCCTAATCGCATTTTGCTTCTACCCCTCATGAGATCTCGACATCTTACATATGTGTGTGGATACGTGTATGGGCGCTGATCAAAAGGGCTTGTGAGAAGTTATGTGAGATGGACGATGGGAATATGCAGTTAGTAGCCGTTACCTTGCAGCAAATCCCGTCGTGCCTGTACCAGGTTGCCATGTGACACCGTGGCCATGTGTTCGCAGAACACGATGCAATTCAGCTCTGACGAGTCCTAACATCCTGAAAACAAGGTGGCGTCCAGTCTGTTAGATGAAATTTCAAGGAGGTCACCCAGTCCTCCTCCACAAGAAAGCCTAACAGCAGCTGGACGGGTGGACATGCCGTCTCTGCCGATTGAGAACATGGAACAGTAGAAAGCCGCACCATTGGATTACCATAGTTCGCGGAGTGCAACACCCATGAACAGCCGCTACAGAGAGTCGCTGCTGCTCTACTTGCTCGCCCGAGGCCTACAATGCCACCATCGCAGCCACTGAGAAGGCCCAACATGTGAGAAAGCTTCCTCTGCGGGAACGGTTCTTGAGTCTTGGAGCAGGCTGCCAGATGGTCCAGCTCCTTGATGCTGATGTCGAAAATGGAGGAGGCAAAGACATGCAAAGACCCTGATGCTGGAAAGCTCAATCTGGCCTGGCCTCCTGCTTACATGTCTCGTGGATCTTTCTATGTCCGTCGCCATAGACCTGCCTTGCTGGGCTGCGCACAGACTGCTGTAATCTAACCCGTAGCAGAAACTGCACCAACTCCGCAGGCCTTCTTGCAGCTGTCGGCCACGACATTTAATGCCACCGGGACATGTTTATTTAGGGGTTATTGGTGCACAGGTAGGGTCAGATCTCACACGTCCAAGGCCAGCATCAGTGCATGTGAGAAGTCAGCTGCCTGGGAGGCAGCTGAGCAGTGCTGGTTGAGTCTTGCACGGCTCTCCCGCCATCATGTGCCACCAGGCCTCGCTGTGGCTCTTTGACGAGATGCTGATGCGTAAGTTGGCAAAGGATTCTCACTCGCTATGTGCAGCACGCAGTCGAGCTTTCTGATTCAATTCATCTCGACCTTGCATTATGTCCAGCAGAGGGGCAAAAGAGTATTTCGGGTTCCAGCACGGCAGGTGGAGATTGGGAGAGAGTGGGTCTGTCCAAGTGGTACTGGCTCGTTCCCCGCGTCCTTAGCGAAGTTGGCGTTGGAGAGGACATTGTCACCTTCAGCGCGCTGATCTCGAGCCGGTGGCACAGACGTAGTCGACTGACCTGATGATGACAGAAGCATGCAGCGATTCACCAAGGCTGCGAAAAGGGCACCCAGTGGACGCTGGCTTTGCACTTTTTCCGCCTCTGCCGCGCGCAGGGTTTTCTGGAAAAAGCACCGCGAACAGCCCCAGCATACCACTGCCCCTGAGTTTTCCTCGCAAACATACTGGTATAGAAAATCGCAGGCTGCGGCCGTCCTTGGGTTCACAGTGGGTTCAGATATATGGTGTGCGATGGTTTCGGGATCAGCCAGTGCCTGTCAATGCTTGACTGTCCGCAGCTGTCTTATCAAAGTTGCTTGGCCCGGGGGCCACCCCTGGGGAGGGCCTTCCCTACAGCATGCGATTACGTGAGGCGGGCGCAGGGGAAGACAGGGGTTGACCCTGGGGAGTGTCTCCGTGAGTGCGGTCTGAAAACGCTGAACTCTCTCGAAGGTGCTGTTCTTGGCCTTGAGCTTCGTCTGTGCATCCGGCAACCAGGTGCGCCTCGCAAGCCCCTGTCAAGCATCTTCGTCTCAGCATTCGGGGGTGCCTGCAGTCGCATCCATTTTCGATGCCCGCCAAATTTTACGATTGTTCTAGAGGTTGCCGTTCGCAGCTAAAGACTGGATCAGGAGGCGACAGACGAGCTTCCACGAGACGATGAGCCTCGTTGCCAGAGTGTGTCCTGTGTGCCTAGGGGTTCAAGACACAGTTAACTGCGCTTTTGAAAACCATATAAGGAGTGTGCTTTCTCGGACTCGGACAGCTGCGCCTTGCAGGCCGGGGCGGCTCGGGGAGAGGGGGGAAGATCTCATAGTACTTCATAGGGTTCCGTGGAGGCTCTGCAGAGGCACGCAGCTCGGGCACCGCGGCCCCTTGAGCTGATCCCGACTCCCAGCGTCCAGGGCGAGGGCGCTTACATCTCCAGCAGCCCGGAAGCAACACAGTCACCCCCAGCAAAAAAAACAAGCTGCAGTCTCGCTCGCATATAGTAAAGCTCGGATTCAAGGTCGAGAGTCCAAATCCTTTGAGTGGACGGAGCTGCGGGTCTCTGAGAGCAGCATCGAGGAAGCCTTGAAAGCCCCCTTCGCAAAAAGCAGCTGGCCTTTGCCATTCGGCTTGTCAGCCGGTGACGTGGCACGATGGCTGCAGCGGGAGCTGTTGTCGACGAGCCCTTTTGGGCAGTTCGGCATGCTCGTGCCGTGGCCTGAGGAGGACGATGACCAGCTGGGCCATGGCGGCTGGGTCGGTTACTCCCGAAGGCAAGTCTGCTATCTGACTGCGAAGAGCTACCTGGGGGCAAAGGCCCGTGGGTACAATGCCGGACTCTTTCGCCTTATGAGCATGTGCCCGGAAACGGGGGACTTTAGACACTCCTTTGCGATGCTCTTAGCAGCTTGCGCTCTGGACTGCATTTCAGTTCATCCCTCTGCCCTCGCTGCGGTCTGACAGACTTGGCATGTTTGGCACTGATGCTTGAGGTGCGGCAGATCCGACTTTGGCGAATGGCAACCAGGGGCCGCTGCTTTTGACGGCCAAAGCTCGTGCGGCCCCTTCCGTGGAGGAGGCAAGGATTGCTGTAAAGCAGGTGTGCAGTAGATAGGTAGCTGCGCCTCGCCTAGCCCCGTGAGGTGCGCCAGAAGGCAGAAGGTGTGTCAATGCAGGCTGCCAAACTGCGAGTCTGCGACTACGACACGGGGGTTGCTTGACTCCTTGACCAGCCCCGCAGACAGGACAGCAACGGTAATGGACGGCATCATTGCAGGATGCATAGATTTAGATTTAGATGGTGTGAAAGCTTAGGCTGGCCCCTTCGATGGCGTCGAATCGGTGCCAGAGCGGGGCTGCAGGAAGCGTCAGCAGGATGCTCCAGGCGTCGACTTCATGATCGGCGGGGAGCCAGGCCAGGCGACCCAGGACCCAGTGCTTTCAAAATCAGTAAGTGTTTAGCTAACAAGTACAAGTCACAGAAGGAACTCAGAGGGTGTCTTCAGTTGAGTTGGAGTCATACTCGTACCTGTGGCTGGAATCTGAGCCCCAGGACATCTCGGCCTCTTGGTTCGGAGGCTACTTGTTCGACGCAAAAGCCTGTGGCCTTGGTGGTGGACAGGACGAGCGCTTGTCAGTCTACTTCCCGGAAGTCACAATTCTCGCATATTTCCTTTCGCAGAGCGACCCATTCCCTCAGCTTCGCCAACCCGCCTGGTTCCTGGGAGCACGGAACTTCTTCAAGAACTTAGACGGCACGGCTCGGTTTGACTCGCCAATGATCCTGACAGACGTGCCCCTGAAGTCCGACCTCGTTGATGTTTCTGTGGCGGATCACCTCTTCGAGATCAGCTCTTCAAGGCCTGTCGTCGTCTTTATGAGCGAGAGCCAGGGCTTGGTCGACGACCACTCGCCTTGGGAATTGAAGCTGGCCCGTCTGAACCGCTTACAAGCGCAAAGGGAGATGGGCACCGGCCAGTTCGCCTTCGAGAAGCAGGCGCAGTGTTCGCTGTGCTTCGCTCCGTCTGTATTCTGAAGCTGCTGAGCTACTGGCTTGCTTCACTATAGCCACGATTCACTTAACATTGTAGGATAGGATTCGCCCCCGGCTCGACCGTTGAATTCTGTGTAGGTTCGCGCGTGGTATCGGTCTTTAGCGCTGACCTCCTACGATGCGGCTTATCAGCATGTGGCAGGAAGTTTGCGGGCGCATCATTTGTTCTGTTTTGCTGTTAGCATGATTAGCAAAGTGTTGTTGCACCCGGGTCAGCACTCTTGTGCGGGGTTCTGGCACTCGAACGGTGCGCCTTCACTCCCTGCACAATACCACATGGTGCCCGCAGCCGGTCATGCTTCTTCCACTGCCGACGCACGTTTTTTTCGCAATCGTGCTGCGTTGTCGCCACACTCGCGCTCCTGCAAAGTGCCGTGGCTCGCGATTCTGACTTCAAGATGGGCACGGGACTGTAGAGCAAGCTGGCTTGGCAACGTGCGACCGCCAGATGCATGGAAGTGGAAACCACGAGACCCAATGCCGAAGTCCGAAGCGCCTCAGAACTTGCGCCTTTGCTTGCCTCCTTTCACGGTAAGCTCAAATATCAAACCAGCGTTACCAAAGCGAGCAACCACGGACATACGTGCCCGTGCCCGCAGCAGTGACTTGCTGTCAGTGTTGTCTCCTTGTGCATGAGGAATTGAATCATCCTCGGAAGTGTTGGTGTGCTGCCAGCGACAATCGAATTGATCACTGCGATTGTGCTTCTCTTGGTGAGACTCCCAGGAACGGATTCATGGCGCCTTGCGTGCCCTCGTGAAGTCCATTGGGACTGGGCCATGGTTCTCCGGCCTTTGGTGGGGCGATTCACAGCTCCCTGGAAGGAGTTCATGCTTGATCGAGCATCGGGCTGCGGACCCCTCGTAGCATCTTAAAGCTGGTTGGAGGATGATGTGGGATCATGGTAGGCTTTCAGGCGCACATGCGTTCGCCACACACACTTCTGATAGAGACACTCGTAGGAAATGCCCCCCGCCCTCACTGCACGGCAACTCCAGAACCAGGGCAAAGACACAGGTGGATCTACTTCTGCTTGATTCTCGTGATGCACTGTAGTCTATAGTTGCGTGAGATTGGCTGCTTCCTCCACACAAAATGCGGTAGTCGATCTCATGTGCCGGAAGGGTGCAGGGAAAGACAGAGACAGAGAGCTGAACACGTCTGCTGTCTGCTGTGAGGCTCGGCTTCTTGGCCATCTGGCTTGGCCACGCCTTGGCCGCTCCGACCTGGGGGTGGCCTTCGCGCACTCACGGCAGCCCTCTGAATGGAAAGTTGGAAACTCTAAGAAACCCCGGCCATATCTTTTTTTGGCTCGATCCTCCTCCTCTCGCTCCGGTGTACACAAGCCACTATGTGAATTTCATGTGTAGAACTTGCAGCCTGCAGGCCCGCTGATGTTGGACTACTACATCTATGCAGATTTCACGGAAAATCCTGGAAACCAGTGTTACGTGATTCCTGGCGAAGCTTGCCGAGCTTGCTTGAACGATGCTTGCTGGACTTAGTCGGCTGGATGTTTCTTTGGGGGTTGCAAGCGCCACGGAGAGTCGATCACCCGTCACATCCCCAGGTGTGTCAAAGCCCCGAACCGCCGACCAGCGCCTACTGGAGCCTTGGCAACCTTAGCCTGTTGCAAGTTGTTGCATGTTGCGTGCATCTTATTACAAGCGGCTTAGCTGTTGAGCCGAGGATGCCCGAGGGAGCACTCTTCGATGGGCGGCCCTGTGTACCAGATGCCTCCATTTGTGGGCAGAAGGGCTTCGCAGATGCCGTCAAGGCCTTCGGGCACCAGACAGCAGCTCGGAAGATGCTGGCAATGTCCACAATCAACTTTTTCAATCCTGAGTAGCAGCAGCTGCAGGACTACTGCGGGATTAAGAGGAGTACTCACTAGTATCACTCGTATCCGTAGCAGTAGTAGCAGTAGTAGCAGTAGTAGCAGTAGTAGTAGTAGTAGTAGTAGCAAAAGTGGTAGTAGTGGTAGTAGTGGTAGTAGTGGTAGTAGTGGTAGTAGTGGTAGTAGTGGTAGTAGAGTAGTGGAGTAGTGGAGTAGTGGAGTAGTGGAGTAGTGGAGTAGTGGAGTAGTGGAGTAGTGGAGTAGTGGAGTAGTGGTAGTAGTAGAGGTAGTGGCAGTGGAGTAGTGGAGTAGTGGAGTAGTGGAGTAGTGGAGTAGTGGTAGTGGCAGTAGTGGCAGTAGTGGTAGTGGCAGTAGTGGCAGTAGTGGTAGTAGTGGTAGTAGTGGTAGTAGTGGTAGTAGTAGTAGTAGAAGAAGTAGTAGTAGTAGTAGTAGTAGTAGTAGTAGTAGTAGTAGTAGTAGTGGTAGTGGTAGTGGTAGTGGTAGCAATGTCGTCGTCGTAGTCGAGCATCGTGCTCGCAGCCGTAGTCGTCGTAGTAGTGTAGTAGCAGCAGTAGTATCAAAGTTGATAGTGCTGCCGCCGAGGTATCGGTCACCTGGAGACATATCGAGGAAAAGGTGGCCTGGGGAGATTTGGGCAAGAACGTTTTTGACATCCTCCTGGCGTAGATCACTTGCTTCCAGCTAGATTATATAGGTTGCTTTGCCACGTGTACACCATGCCATCGTCAAGATCTGTCAGCGCTTTAGTGCGCACATGATAAGCTTGACGGCATCTTTTGCGAATCCAGAATGAAATGCCACCTGTGGCGATACGTGCCGGGCGGTTTTTAAGCGTTTCACACTTGATCATTGGTAGGTAGGCACTGAGCCTTCGGGGATGCAGCACCTGATGGCAAAAGTCCGGTTCCAGATTGCTGTCCGCTGCGACACGGCTACTGCAGGTGGCACGCAACGGTAGCCTTCGCTTTCGGTAATGCAGCCAACACGATCAGAAATTTAGTCAATCACGCCAATGAGAAACCACGGCATCTGGCCAGGCTGGCAATGCAATCTCTCTCCACATCCGTCCTTGGCTTCCAGGTCAGCTTGCATAAAGCTGTTCCGTAAACCGCAGATCGTGCTACTGACCGTCCGAGGCGTTGAGGATGCAGTTTGCAAGACCGTCGAGAATCGTGCCAGGGGCTCAGAAGCAGAGGCAGCAAAGCAGGTAGGAGGCCAAAAGGCCAAGCTGCCCCCTGCCTGGAGGTCCTGCGAACCGTGAGCAGGCCATGCTCTCAACTATTTGGGTCAGGGTTCGTTTCTTTAACTCTTGATGTTTTTGCCGTTCTCGTGTGGAGAAAAGGCTTCCAGGCTCTGTGCCATCGCATTGCATCTCATGCTGGTAGATGTTCGGTCGACTGCAGCCGGTGCCGGGTCCGCAAGCCGAAAGCGCACGAGGATGGTGTCGGGCGTTACCTGGACCTGGAACAAAGGCACCACAGAAATGCAGGCGGAGTGGCGGAGCTTCTTGCAGAGCATCTCAGAAGTTGTCGATGTCCTGGCTTGGCGAGGTGCACGTGGCCAATGCATGCCTCTTCAAGAGAACCATTGACTCATTGACCAGCTAACTCACCCATAAACCTTTGCTGAGCAGCTTCTCAACCATCAGTGATTCAAATCAGCTTATGTGTGACGGAATGGTGACACGGCAGCACTTCTGCTGTAGAAGAGAAGCTGCAAATGATTGGCACCTTGAAGGGTTTCGCAAGACTCAATATGATTCAATATGATTCAACCTCATTCCCAGAAAGATTTGTTGATGTGACCCTAGTTGGATTTGCGAAGTCCACTAAGTGAATTGCCAGCTTTGTTGAGCACCAGTTTCCGGTACACGGGACCATGGGGCATCTCCATCAAGCGTGGCCCGGTCGATGCCGGGTTGGTGCTATGATATGCTTGTCGTAGTCATTTGCCAGTCGGGGCTGTGATTCTGGTCTTGTGTCGACGTGTCAAGATTCATGCATTGTTCAACATATGTCTTTTGTCAATCGATCTGAATCTCTTGCCTGCCCATGATCGCTGTATGTTTCCATCAGCATCCCCACTGTTTCTGCATCGCAGTTGCGTTCTGCTTCGGATGTTGCTGCTGTTGAGGCCCCTGCTGAGGCACTTATATTCTTGCGGAACGGTCAAGGGCCACTAATGTCGACGTCACAAGGTGACGGATGCACTACGCTGCCTTTCACTTGTGTCCTTTCAGGCTTGCCCAGATTGATTTGCCAGCTCCGAGAAATCTTGTCAATCTTCTGCTGATGTTGCAACTCTTGGGAGTCCTCAGTCCTCGCAACGGAGCAAGCCGCGGGGGTTAGTGACACGAAGAGTGTTTGAGAGCAGCCATGGCCAAGAGGCCAACACTGCAGGGGGAGACTTGACGTGAGGGCTCGTCTTGGAGATGTGCACGACGGTGTTTACGCCAAGCACAGCTACGTGATGACAAGTCTTCTCCTCCATGCAGCGTGTCCCATGTAAATCACAAAGCTCCTCCTGCGAAGTCGCAGGCGGTGCACTCAGGGTCCCGTCCTTTGCACATAATGCAAAGGTTGCAGTCGTTGAGGAGGCCTCGACTGCGAGGGCATTGGAGACAAGTCAGTGTTAAAACTTCACAGTATGCGCCTTGTGCTTGTCCTCCTGGGAGCAGGCCAAGTTTTTAAGGAGGTCTTGATTTTGCCTGAGCATGTTCACCAGTACAGAGGATGAAAAGCATGAGTGGTTTTGCAATCCTGTGTTTCGGCTTGTATGGGCGCAAGTTGCTCTTTCGAGCAGCATGGTATAGCATGTGATAGCTCAAGGACCGGCATCACGTCCTTGAGCTCCGGTTCGTGGCTTCCTCTTGCCTTGGCTTTTGTGTTCGAGGCGTACCTGGCCTGGAGCGTTCCGGACCAACCAGAGTTGGGGACCTAAGTGCTGCGAATCGTGTATTTGCCTGAAAGAGACTGTGGGACAGAGTGAGAGCGAGAGAGCCAGTCCTTCGGCAATGGAAATACGACGAGTCGACTCATGTGCCTTTTGGCTGGAGGACGCTTGGGGGGAACAAGCCCCTACTTGTAATTAGAGCCGACACCCAACACAGGGGCCTGGGATCCAAGAGCGCGCACGCGCCGGGGGTCTCGGCCCCAAGCCCTAGCAAGCATCCAACAGAACAATCTCGCTTTTGCTTCTTCTCCAGCAGGCTTATGGGAAAGGCTGGCCATCCCCGCTGTCAGCTGGTACAACGGGGCTTTACGGGGATGCCAGAGCAACCCAGCCTGTGCAAACATGTCTGTTGTGTCGGAAAGGCGCGGTGGGGAAGAGATAGAACAGAGAGAAGCAAGGGCCCAGCTGTTCAGCGAACAAGACAGCATTGTAGCATGAGGTGGATTCGTCGAGAAGATGCCGCCTTCCAGGCTCTGCTCTCGATCCACGTAGTGTTGCAGCGTACTCGTGGACACGTGAACCACGCATGCACCTTTGCGCCAGGAGCTGTCCAGATACAATGACAGGCTCAAAGATCAGAAGATCGAAGCAAAGAAGCTCTGAGCTCCAAGATGCCTGGGTTCATTGAAAGCGTGCCTGAAGAAACACACACACACACATGTGCTTATATATATATATATGTGTATATGTGTGTTAATGAATAGATAAATATACATAGATATATGAACATATATATATATATATATATATATCAAACAATTCGCATATTTGTATCCGTTTTGCACATGTGTTTGTACATGAAAACAGGTATCGATCTACATACTTGCTGAAATTTGATTATGCTATTTGCACGCATGCACCTATATTAACAAATGCAAGATATGTGTTCAGGCATGTTTGTCTTTGTAGTGAAAAGCATTGTATCTCCAGATTTCTGTCTCTGTCTTTCCGTGTGTATGTATATATATATATACACACCTGTGCGTGTGTGTGTTTGCGACCGTATGTGATACATGCCTGAAGAAAGGCAGGATAGATCTATGCTTAATGCGTCGTATGTATGTTCCTTGGTACTTGTGCTTGTACGTGTGTATATACATGCATGTGACACATGGGCACACACATATATATATAATATATATATATAATATAACATATATATATATATATATATTCGTATGTATGTATATGTACATGCTCCCCTCCAATTGACCCGCACTACCTCTGAATGTGTGCCTCCGCTGTTTGGGTCTGCAGTAGGCCATGTCAGTTGTGTCTGGGCAACATCAGCATTCATCAGCCGTCTACCTTCGTAGCGGATGATACAAGCCATGTAATCAACTGTAATGTACTGGTCAAATATATTATTATTATTACGTAGAGGATTGAACTATACGTAAGTGCGTGTCAGTACGGGACTTACCTTGTACATGTATACATACATATATGTTTATTTATTTTTTTATACACATATACACACATGTGTCTGTTTTTTATGTGTGGCTGAGTGTATGTATGTGTATGTGTGAGTGTATATATGTGCGTGCATGTATATGTGTGTATGTATACGTACGTGCGCAGGTATGCATGTATGTGTATGTATGTGTGTGTATGTGTAGGTATACGCATATTACGTCTGTGAAAATATCGATATAATCATATTTACATTTACACGTGCACGTGCATGTATGTACGTATGTTGCATGTATGTACGTATGTACGTATGTACATGAGCGATCTCAAAATGCACAGTCACAATTACATAATTGCACGAATACGTGGTCGATGAGTGCATGTACCATGTTATAATGGCAGATTGAAGGTAAGCCCTCATAGACCGCCTGGATCAAATATGGCGGCTGCAGAGCCCCGGGCAGCATCACATTGTGCAGACAGGCTGGCACATAGACAGAGTAAAAGAGCACATTAAACCTGCATAGCTTTGCTTCGATGGGCGACAAGGAGGATGTTTTGAACTTGCTTCTCAAGGTATATAGTGTTGGCCATTGGCACCCGGAATGCTGGCTATCTGAAACTTAATCTCATGTTTGCCCTGGAACGAATCACGTGTCATAGAGAGCATTCAGACAGTCATTCGCTTGACAGTTTCACTTATTTTGCAGGAGGACGTTGCAGGAGAGTTGGTGTGATGAGTCGGAGTCATCGCGATGGTGAATTCAATTTAACATCATGTCGGGCTTAATTATCGCACACAATCTAGCGCAAGCTCGCAGCAGCTACAGACCCCGGCGTCTGGTGCTGGTGGGTGTGGACATGCAGTTTATGATGTCTGTCGGTCCAAGTGTTGCTGGAGCTGTGGGTCATGTTTATGCAAAGTCTGTGTGCCATGATTGCTTGAAGTCGGAGACTGCTCCGACATCTTGCGAACTCCTGCACCGCTTCGTCCCTCACACATTTGCCTCGTTGTCATTGATGCCGTGCTTGACGCATTAATGGCAAATTACAGATATTACAAGGAAACACCAGAGGTGTTGCCACTGGGCGATCGGAGTGACTCAAGCCCGCGGATGAAAATTAGTTGCGACAACAGTGCATTGGTCCTTGCACGGGGTAGTGCTCAGCAAGCAGAGGCTGTCGCATGCTGTCGCCACCAACTTGCTCCGCAAGCTTTGGGCCAAGAGTTGCCATATTGGCATGCTGCGGCCATGGCAGAGGGAGGCGAAGAGGAGTCGGAAGACGACTCTGTGACGGTGAGCGCCGGAAGCCCAAAATGTTTCTGCACCGGATTTGCAGCGCTCGTGCCATGACATCTAGTTTGCGATAATATCAGACTGCGTGCCCAGGTGCGATCTCTGGGGGGAGCTATCACTTGCTTCCGTGTGCCGCGTGCCACCACCGCGCGGGTGCCGCGGGCTATTGATTACTGCAGGATGTGCCGCTTAGCACTGAGCGGTTTATGCACACCCGAGAATACGCAGGCGTTGAAGATACGTCTGGCACGGAGTTGTGGGTCTCCGCCCTATGCGCAGCGCCTGCTTCAAGGCTAGAGTCAGAGCTTCAGCGAATCCTGTCAGTAGCGAGCAGATGCCTTGGGAAAAGATAGCTCAAGGTAGGAACCACCTGCGGCGCAAGTTTGAGAATTTTGCTCCCAGATGGAAGTGTGCGCTCAACCCTACTCCATCCGTTTGGAGTTGTTGTTATTCTGCACGGCAGCGTTTTTCGCATGCATGGTAAGTTTCTTGGGTTGCGAATCTCTGGCATCTGCACACTTTGATTCCTACTTCAGATCTCACCCTCGACCCCGCGCTAACTGAGTGTCCGCATGTGTTAGATCCAGTTCTCCTTTTTAAGAGCCTTTCTTGTGGTACCAGTATGCTTCAGCTTCAGCCTTTCGGATTCTACCTGGTCGTTTTCCGGTTATCCTGCGTCAGCTCTGCCGATTGCAGCAATCGTGAACTTTCAGCAGCACCATTCGAGCCCGCACAAAGTCTAGAGGATAATAGCGTGATCCCTTGGACATGGCCGGTGGCCGTTTATCAACGTTTCCAGCTGAAGTGACCAGTGAAACCTCGGTCAGGGGAGAGAATTCTCGAAGACGACGCCTCTGTGGAGTCGGCTGTGACGAATGTGCCTGCATTGGAATTGTTGCGGCTGAGTTGCAGAGACGATGAGTGTTACTGCTGACGCTGTATAGGATGCCTTCGGGGACTCATCTGATGCTGTATGGCTGCAGTTATGTCCTTCTTTCTAGCTGGTGTTACTAGTCAATGCCCCAGGGGACGGTGTGTCTGTTTGGAGTAGTCCAGGCCCTTTCCACATGCGACCTTTCGTCGCAGTGCAGTCGGTCAAGGGGCACGTCGTGTCAGTAGCTCAGGCTGGTTTGCACGCCGTGCGAACTTGAAGCTGGAACACACCTAATCGACAGCGCCAGGCAGGGTGGGCTCCTTTGTTCGTTGCCCTTCAACTTTACCGGCACAATGCCCCTCCTGCCTGTGCAGCAGGTTCGGGAATTTGCCAAGCCTTCGAGAAGCATTGCGCCGGCCAGCACCCCCAGAGCCTGTGCAGAAAGAGAAGCCAAGCTAGATTCTATAGATCCTGTTCTAGTTTGTCAAGCCGGACTGGCTTGGTCGCATCTGTCACCCCGATAACTCGGTTGAGCCCCCGAGGACTTCGCCAGGCCCAGTGATGGTCTCACGGCTCTTCTGGCAGCATCGTGGCCAGGCATCAAGGCGGTTGACTAGCAGCCCTGGGCTTCATATGGACTTCAGCTGTCGCTTTCCCTCCAAAACAAAGTCAACACTGAAGTTCCAGATGCTGCAGCAAACTTTGCACTGGACCGTTGAAAGTCGATGTGGTTGGTCCACTTGTCTGCTGATGTCTGCTGTATACCACGATCAAGAATCGAAAGCTTGCTGAGGGCTTTTTTGCACAGGGATTGCTTCGAATTGCATGGATGGAGGTTGAAATTGAGGATGATGTATGTTACCGATGCAGACTTCCCTAGCTTTCGGAAGACCCCAACGGTGAACATTTGCAACAACCCAAACAAACATCCATTGTGGTGATGTTTGGGACCCAGGTTTCACGGCCACCTGGAGATGGTTGTTGAACTGCTTGCAGCTGGTGCTTCAAAGGCCGCCTTTGACATCTTTTTTGTACGTTTCTTCTTCGCGGCCTTGGCCTTGGGGGCTTGCAAGGCTTGCAGTCGAGAGCTGGGCTCACTTGGCCGTTTGTGCTCAGTCACGAGAGTCCACACAGTGCAGCAGGAGAAGCCCATGAAGAACGGTGCAACGCCTCTGCACTTGGCTTCACAGAGTGGCCATCTGGCAGTTGTGAGGCTGGACCGTGGCTCAAAGGAACAGTGGCACATGTATCCAAAAGCTGTGCCAGGTGCCTTTTGACCGCTCGAGCTGAACCCAACGCCGAGGCGGAGGACAGCTGAGCACCTGGGAAGGAAGGACCTTGGCACCTACCGGAGCTAATGCAAGGATGGGCGACGGCCCCTGCACATCGCTTGCCAGAAGAATCACGTGGAGGTGCCGAGTTCTGAAGCGCTCCAGTTTTCGCCGACGCCCGGACGCGCAGGTCATCCGGACCTTGTGCGATGGCGATGCTGATCCCAATGCCCTGCGGCTGCAACGTGTGAGACCGTGGGACAGGCAGAGGCGCCACTTTTGCGCAGCTTCAGACCCCTCGGCTTGGCTAACTAAAGTAACTAAAGACGATCTGCACCCTTGAACACAAACCGTACAACAACGATCGAAGGCCAGCCACTTCGTCAAGTCTGAGCGTAGGGAAGTGTCTCGTCGACATCCACCGAGGCGCCTGGCCCACATGCCATGTCTCCGGCCTTCCCTGCGTGCCAGCGAGGCCTGGAAACCTGGCTTTTAGCAGGGCAGTTAGAAGTTCTGGACCTTGCATCACCCGGCTGAGCCAGGCTATCTTGATGCATTGAAGGCTTTGTGCGAGGCCGGCGCAGACCCAGAGGCCGGAAGAGCTGTGGTGACACATCTGAACAGCAGTCTGCGTGGTACTGCTTAGGCGACGGACAAGAGCGGCACCAGGCCTGCGGTGCTCCACTTGCAGCACCTATGAATGCCCCAAGGGCATGTCCTAAGTGCGGTTCCTGTTGCAGGCTGATTGATGTTGCTATTCAAGAAGGGCACCTGCCGCTCGTGCAAACACTCCATGCCGCTGGAGCCAGCAGCTCGCTGCATTTGGAAATGTGGCATGGCATGCTCTGCTGGCTGATGTGCTTGCGTTGCTGCGTGATGTACATGGTGGTACTGAAACCGTTCATACTGCATCTCGGTGAGGCATCGCAGAATCCAACCGCAATGGCAGGTGAGGGAATGCCAGAAATGCTGGGCCCCGAACCTCGAAAAGTAAAAAATGCCATCGCGGCATGGGTAGCTTTGTTGCAAGCTTCGTTACAGGACACCGCTTCATGTAGCTGCCTACTGCGGCGACTTGCTCATTGTTCGGTGGCTGGCTGAAGAAGGTGCCGTGCATCCTGCATGATGCTGTCAATGGGAATAGGAACCGGCCAGTCTTTCTGCCAGGAGTGCTGATCGACAGCAGGGATCGCCAAAGATACACTCCTCTGCACTTGGCAGCGCGATTCGGATACGAGGTTTCGGCCCTGCACTGCTGCTTTGCATAGCTGCAAAGCTTTGGGGGCTGCTCGAGCCAGCGATCTACAGCACAACTGTTTGCCTCCTCGAGTGGTTGACATTGGGCATTGGTATCATTGGTATGAGGTAGCCAGGTAGCTGAAGGTTCCGGTCCGCACTTGATTGGGCAAGATCTGCTCCGCTCTGGCCTTGCCCTCTGCTTCCACGCACTGTCTTTCTTGCGCTCCAGCAGTGCACGAAAGGTCCGGGATCAACCCTTCGAGACTCTTGCTGATCTCCCATTGGAGTAGTGCCCTCCTGCAGGTTGTCGCCCGCGAGCTTTTCGAGCTGCGTGCCGACCTAGAGGCTATAAGTAGCCGCTTGGAAAGCACGACAGGCAAGCCAGAGCCTGAGGCCAAGCCCATAAGTCCGAGCAAGCCTTTTGAGCAATCACCAGCAAAAGTAGGTGTGCCTTTTTGGAAGGCTTCCGCAGTGCTCTTGGAATGCCCCCAGTGCTTGGAATTTTTTAACCACTTCAACAAGCGGTGATAATGGTTAACGTGACTTCGTGTAGGTAACCTTCCTGCAATGAAGGGTGGATCTGCGTGTTTTCTGTCGCTTTAGTAAGCAAACAGGACGATCTTGCCGAGCTCCCCCTTGCCGTGCTGATGCGAAATTACTGCCCGATGTGTGGTCAAGCCTCTTCAGCGACTGATTGAAATCTGGATCTTCGGTTACGTGTGGAAGAGTCCAACAAAAACGCCATTCCAAGAGCGGAAGCCGTAGCCCCGCTTCGTTGGAGTCGGAGCTCAGGCAGCGGCAGTCGGCCGCTGCATATGGCTGCCCTTTTTGACCAAGAGGTATCTGGGCTGCAAACTTCCAGCTCTATGGGATAGATCTTGAAAGCACACCCGCCGGATCAGCCTCAGATTTGCCGCGATGCTGTGAGGAAGTGGCGCGATTCCTGTGCGAGCAGCACGTTGACATGCCGCACGGCTTGAAGTGCAGGGCGAGCTCTTGAAACTGCATTCCCGGTTGTTTGGTCTTGGCCTTCTCTGTTTAAGCGATGGTTTCGACCCGCCGACATTATCCTAATGTCGATAAGCCTTTGGCTGGCCTCAATCAGACTCAATCACTTCGTGTAGTGTTGCGTGTTGCGTTCAGTCGAGGAATGTCCTCGCCTACCCGGGGCTCTCACCGTTGCACTTGGCCGCCGCCAGAGGAAACCTAGCCTTCAAGCCGCATTTGCGCCCGGTTGGATTGTGAGACACTTGCTTTGTTAGACCGGCCGCCGGGTCGGCCAAGGAAGTGGTGAAAGTTTTGTGCGACTTCGGCGCCAACCTGGCCAGACGGGACATCTTCGGTGCGATGCCGGTGGGACCGTTTTGACTTGTGAGCTGGAGTACATTGGTGCATGTGCGGACCATGTTTAGTTTAGGCCACAGAAGCACGTGGTTCCGTTTTGCGAGATGCGTGGGAGGTCAGCACGGCAGTCCGCTATGGCCGCGATGCGATTGTGTCAGCCTGATGCAAATAGCTTTGGACTGGGAAGCAAGCGGGAGTTCCAAAGAGTGTTCGAACCGTTATTACTACAAGCACACCAACCCAGCTGAAGAACTTGCAGAGTCGCTCACTGAGGCAGTGCATGCTCGACGCAGCGGGCTGCGAAGACTGTGAGTCTACCCCAGGTGCCAACCTTCTTCCCCAGAGTGCAGTTGAACTTCCACGAATACAGTATTTTGGTGAGAACCTCGTCAATCCGCGGCATCAGTCACTGCTCAAAGCTTGTCTCTGCTTGTCCGTGCATCTTACTTCAAAATGTAGGCACTTACACGAGCCCGAAACCTGCGAGGCCATGTGGAGTTTGCTCCCTTCTCTTTGCAAGAGTGATGCTGAATTACTGCAGCCCCACAACGTCTCGTTGCTTCACGTCTCCCAAGCGCTCGATAATTCCGATGCCGACAGTATTTGGGCTGCTGCAGCCCTACAGTATGTAAGAGAGCCCTCCAGATCGCCGTTTGCTGTGCAACAGCGTGGAGTTGTGGGGCAACGCTTGAGTTTGCCAGCCAGTTTTGCTATCGACCAGGGATCTCGGCTTCCAAATGCTTCCGTTGCTTGAGCCAAGTTGCGCCGCCCAACGAAGCTCTTCGAGACCTAGTCGTGCATCAGAGCCTTTTGCCGGATCCTGAAACGACAAGCTGGCGTTCTCGCACAGGAGCCATGAACCAGCAGGGCGGCCAGGGAGTTCATCCAACGCTAGCAACAAAAATCGTAGCTTGGTTGTTTCCTACTTACGTTCGCTGCAGTTGATCCATGACAGTTGCCGGCATCCCTGCTTCCATGCAACCAGCACCTTTGCAACGAAGAGGTCATGTAGATATCCAGTCGTGTTGACCTGTAGGTCTTTCAGCTTAGGCTTAGTCGGCATGTCAAGTCGAGACTTCGAGTAGAAGTAGTGAGTCTAAGTCCAAGTACTCTAGTGTTCGCCTGAGCTTCGAAAGACCTAGAGCTGTGGCATGTCAGCCACCGACCAGTTCCGGCCGAGCCTTGCCAAAACCAAGAGAAGGAGCCTGTGACAGGCTAGTGCGGGCCCTCTTCTGCAATCTGCAGTTTAGCTGTGACACTGCCAGTAATAGCAGATAGCACCAGCGAGTGCAGGGAGGTCTCTTTGTGAGAGCTTCCTGTGTTTGGCACGGCTTGGTGTTCGTTGTACATACATGTGTACCGAATGCATGGAGCAGCAAGGCAGGCGTCGTGCACTTACACACGGTGCGGAGTTCTGCTTGTACACTAACACTCCTGCCAAGGCTGCATGCTCTGCAAGTTCAGAGTTACTTTAGAATTCAGAATGAGAAGGTAGGTTGCGGCAGAGAGTGTCGTCAAGCCCACTGTGCGTTGTGCACGAAGGCGAAAAAGAAACCTCGTGTTCCTCGCTGTGCTGCAGCAGTCCTAGGCCACACAACCTGGCAAATCGGAGACGCTCAACAACGAGGTGAGTGCCGTCGGTGTTTCTTCTGCATATCTGTGCGGACGAAGAAGATGAAACATAATAATAGTAAGTACCTCAGACAGTCGAACGACTCGAGAGAAAGTTGAAGCGTCCGAAGCTCATAAGAATAGAATCGTGGCACTAAGCGAGTTTGTGAATCATCGCCGTGGTCGCCCAATGGCGACAGATTTGGCGGAAACTTCAACAGGAGCTTTGCCCGGCAGATGAGCATTCGTGAGTCGAACTCTTGCAGATACTTTACAAGCATACTATGTTGATGTAACCATCCTGTCGAGGATTGAGTTTTGGGCAACGATGCAATGATGTTGATGCGTATATGTCTCCAACCAAAGATTTGGAGTGGACGACCACCTCATGCGGAACAGCATGCACCGGATTCACTGGAGTCAAGAAAACCTCGACCATGTCGAGCCCGGAAGCGACGTGGGAGCTGGCAGGAAGAGCCAGGACTCCTGCTCTCCAGAGTTCGAGTTCCGAAGCATTTGCCCTGGCCCCCTGTGTTCAGGACGGAGCGGAGCGAGAACTCAAGCATGTCTGGGCTTTCACCGACGGCAAAAGAGCTTCTCACGGAGGTTCAGCGTGCTTACGCGTGTGTAAATTCATGACAGTTGTCATCAAAAGACAGCTCTTTCGTCCGAGACCGTTCGGGTAGTGTCAAACGTGATTCCAGCTGAGCCCAACAACCAGCGTTTGTCTCAACAACATGTAGATATGTGAGTGAGCTGAACTTGAGACAACCTGTGCAGGACTTGAAGAACTGGAAGCCAAACCCTGAATTGCGCATGCCTGTACGTCACTGGGGAAGACCAAGACCTGGAAAAGTGTGCGAGAAGTGGACATGAGTAGTGTCATCGGATTGTTGGTAACTGTCACAGCTGCTGGCGGCAGGTTGACCCAGAGATTCTTCGTGGCGTCCGGCTTGACATCGCTCTGCAGGGTCTTGGACGACACCTGCGTCCACCAGATTCTGGCATGTTTCATGTGGATCCGAAGAACTATGCTTTGAGTCGGAAGACTGCCAAATTTCATGCCACTTGGGCTGGAAAAGACTGTTGAAAAGTTGAATAGCGGGGCACGCCGGTGCCCAAAGCCGGTTTTGCGGGACTGACACAAAGGTCGCTACCCAGTGAAATCACCCGGCCTAAGGCCTTCCTCAGCCACGACTGGGCATCATCCAGATGGATGAAGGTGATTGCGCTTCTAATTGCCTTCAATGCCACTCTGCTGCAGTTGGCATACTGAAAGCCCGCGCAAGAGGCTAGCAGCCGGAGGCATCACCAGCACATAGCAGCGGATGCTAGGTGATGATTTTATCAGTCCGCTTGCATCGACAGGCACGTGCAGCCTCGATCACCACAACTATCGTCAGCGTTCTGACAGGACTTCTGTGTGCTTTCGGGGCGCTTCGGCTGCATTCCTGTGGTTCTGCCTAGCCTCGGCCTCTGTCTACAACAGATATGTTTGCAATGGCATGCATCCCTTCCACCTACCCCACTGCCCCACTGTTGTGAGCGTTGCTGGAGGAGGAATGCTGGTGCATTCCCCTAAACTTCAAACTTCATGCTACTTCGGCGTCTGCTTTCGAATTGCATTTTGCAGTCCATGGGCGGACCAACGAAAAGTTGATCAGACCCCCAGTGACACTGTCAATTCCGAACAATACCTTTTCAGGCTGAGGATACCCTCCATGAAACACCTTGCCAAGTTTAAGGAATTGAGGGGCTCAATTTCTGAAATCTGAGAAGTCCTCTGTGGATTTGAGTGGATTTGCTGCCATGGCCTGCGAGACAGGGTCAGGAACCGAGCTACTCGGCAGCGGTGCCGTAGCCCAGGAAAGATGACGAGTGACTTCTTTTTTGCAAGGTTATGTACTCGATCCCTCCTCAGCCGCGCTTCAGTCCCTTCAGTTTCTTAATGTCAAGAAATCGCCCCTCCAAATTTGGTTCTCAAACTGTCGTCTTCTTGTTCGGCGTGCTTTCAAACTCCTGAAAGTCGCTTGGCGCCCTTATCATGCCCAAATTAGCAAATGGAAGGCCAGAGGCTCGGTTTGCTTCTTTTTAAGACACTCCCCCTCAATTTTTGCCTGCCTAAGCCTTCAGGAGGCTATTAAAAAAAGGCTGTTGGACCTTGGAAGGCCTCCGAAGGGCTTATGTAAGGCCGTGGACTTTGGAAGCTTCCCTGAACCGGCCAAAGCCTCAATGTTGTAAAGACTTGGGAGATCGAACCACTGCATGTCTTAAATTGCTGGGCTTTCGGCTGATCCTTCAGAAGGGCTTTGGTAAGGCCTCGGGATGGACCATTGAAATCAGAAATTTAGCCCCTCATATTGCTTTAGCCCCTCAGTTTTGAGGCAGCTATTTCGTCCAGGTTTAAAGCGGGCCGGCAGGCTAGGGTAACCTTCACATTTCGACGCGCGCTCGGTGGGCGGAGGGGCTCGATGTTTCTTGAGCCAATGATGTCTTACGCGGGCTACCGCTGTAAGATGCTGACTCAGGTACTACCCCGTGATATGTGGATTGCTGTCCTGCCGCATGCCACATTCTGGCTTGTGCTCCTGTTCTGGCAGCGGATTAGAAGCTTCGTGGGTTTTCCAGTTGTGGTTTTCCTGGACAAGCTCTGTATTGCACAGCATGACGAGAACCTGAAAGAGAAGGCGCGATGGATATTTTGCACATTGATTTTTGAAGAAGGTTGCACTCGGGATAATCCTCAGTGTTTTCAGTAGCATGGCAGTTTCAAGACCTCAGAACCTCAAAGCAACAAACGTTCGTCATTCAACGTGGTCCAGCTCGCAGGGGGTGCTGGGACTGGCAGCTTTCCTGAACCGCTCGGATGAACTGACAATTCTTTGGTCCAAAAACTACTTCCGCCGGCTTTGGTGCAGCGGCTTGTCTGACAAGTTGAGCCTCACTTGAAGGTATGCTCAAAAGGCAGTCATCTAGACAATGATGGCAGTTATCAACTTATCCTGCGGAAGCGGCTCGACCCTGCTCGACTGAGGCTTTGAGCTTGCAACGTTTATGAAGGACAGCAACAAGCATGCGCACATTCGGCTGGTGCCCCTGAAGATGGGGGTCTTGGTGGCGCTCTGGTCACAAGTCGCAGTGGTCGCAGCGGCCCTGCTCCACCTTTCGCTAGACGCGGACTGTGGTCACATTCGATGCCATCTCATTGTGGGGTTGCTAAGTTGCATTTGGCCCAGGACCAGGAGGGTAGGAGACCATAGGGGACCAAAGACCTCGGAACAGCTGCACGGCCCCAGGGCTGGCGCAACCGAGGAGCCTGGTGGCTGCAGCCGTCATTGCAATCTTTCCTGCGCTTAATTATATTGGCATTGGCCTCATGCAGGACCAATCCTCGAACTGTACCAGGGACGAGTCTGACTTCGAGAAATGAGCAAGTCTTCACTTTGTCCATATCAGGAGCTGGAGGACTTGCCTCGGCAGGTGTGCAACTTTCGGGTGCAGCAATGCGAGCGCCCTCTGCTGCAGCTGTGGCGGAGGAGCGGCCTTCTGCCAGACCATGCCAGACCTTAGACCTAAGGTGCTTCTGCTGCTCAAATCAACACCGACATCCGGACACGGGGGCAGAAATCCATTGCGAGCCTTCGCTTTGCAATCAGCTGCAGAGCATAATTTGCGGGCGGCGATATCGTTAAAGCAGCCTGAGTTGTTTTCTGACAGTCGGGTCGAGACGACCACAAGTCCACCATCCATGACTCGACTCATTCGAGGATCGCGCCGCTGTTGGGCAGATGCTTCAGCAGTGGTTTGGACGACCAAGTGACGTCGGCGAGGAGCCCGAAGACGGTCAAATTTCAAGATCAAACGCTTAGTATTGTTGGTCCTCGTCCGAGCCCGAGAACAGTCAGAGAATTACATGAGATGGGTTCGGCCCCTTGCAAGGAGCACTGCAGACGCTTCAATCGTCTCGTGCGTGATCGCTTGGGCCCCCAAATCCTCGGCTCTGTGCCTTGGGCCCGAGAGCCGCGACACGTACAGTGTAAAGCGTGATGCCGATGTCTGCACATGACCTGTTGATGAGGTTGGAAGTGATGCCCTGCCAATCTCCTACGTGCTCTACGTGGTTTGTTGCAGCATCTCGCCAAGCAGAGGAAGTCAAGACTGCTGCGAATGACACCCTTTGTGATCGTGGCCTATAGCGCCTCGTACTCCATTCGTGGCCAATCCGAGAGCGTTTTGTTCCTCAGGTAATGTTCCCTGGCTGTGTACGGTCATTGACCGTATTGCAGCAGGCTGGCGTGCCTCTTGCCATGCCCACACGAGAACAGGTACAGCACAACAACCCTGATGATTGTAGTTTGTTTTCTGACTGGAAGCAACTCTGGCGAGGATCATGAAACCCTCTGCAAGCCTTGTGCAGTAGGCATCGGGAAACGTCGCCCTGTTTTGGAGGACCGGCCGCCGCAGCTGGGATTGATTCCCTGTTCTGGGGCCTCCGGATTTTCCTTCAATGGGCACAACTCTGCCTCGCGGCGTTGTGCGTCATGCGTGTTAGCCTACTGCTGTGGAAGCAAGGGCGCAACATACAAGGGCATGGAAAGCGCTTCCTGGCGTCAATTGCCATGGTCGTCCCAATAGTAGCAACCGGAATGGCCACCTGGTGGTCTTTCGTTCTGGTCTACGATGCGACTCCAGACAACAGCATGCTTCCCGCGATTCCATTTATCGTGGTGCTTGCCATCGATGTGTACCTATATTGGCCGCAGCATGACTCCAAAGTGACGCAAGCTTTCTGTTTGTCCCGCAACAATACAGAGGATCTTAGTCTTCACGCGTGATTCCATCCCTCCGCTCTTCAAGCGCCACTAAGGCCAACCGTGCAGGTGTCCGACTTGGAACGGACTCCAGAGACGCTACCGGGAGTTTTAGAAGCCGGGGAGATTTGCTCTCCATGTTGCTGGGCTTCAGACGCATCGTGGTCTGAAGCGATGCAAAGGACGTATCGAATTGAGTGGAGACAGATCGCACGAGTCAAGGTTCCTCCATCACTGGCGACATGTTCTCTCCGGTCAACGTCCTTCCCAGTGTATGGCCCAGTGAACAGAAAGGCCAGGAGTGTCACGGCAGAGAGAGCTTCGCTGCAAGCGCTCCTTGTAAGATTTTTGTACCCGTGGTCGCGTAGTAGGAGTTGACTAGGACCCGGAAAGAAGAGACACAGTGAAGCCTGAAACTATGCATGCAGCAGAGATTCGTAAGTTCTTACAACTCCTTCTCGCTGCCGAGTGTGCTCTAGACTTGATTCAACTTTTTGCTCAGTGAGGATAGGGGTGAGGAAAGGGTGAGAGTGAGAAGCCCGTCACCTGTTGGTTCCAACCTTACGGGGCCGTGCTCAACAACATCAGCATGACGACCCGTGGTGATCCGGGCACCCCGCCAGCACTTGCCCGATCCAAGCGTTTGCGACTTGAGACGAGCTCACCCGTGCCATATCCTGGGAGCAACAGAACTTACCAGAGTCAAAGGCATTGGCGGTGGATTTATGGAATCAGGGACTGCCCTCGCTGAAGCTTTCACGAGTCAAGAAGATGAGTACCCGACAGAAGCAAGCACAGACATTCGAGTTCGGCGACAGCCAAAACCATCACCCCAACGCAAGGAGATACGTTGACACAAACAACCAGGGCTTTGGAGGTGCCACAGTCGTTTGTGCATGGGTGCGGCTCCTATCAAACCGGAGCCGGGTTGTCCCGATCGTCGAGACTGTTTGCTGGTAGACGTCCGATTTCGCCAACCCCGTTGTAGCTGTCGGGCAACCTGAATCCCGAAAAAGTCCCCTAATTCAAAAGCCGCTTCGGCCTGTGAAACGAAGCAGGCCAAAAACAAACATCATCTGCTTGATGTTGTTGGAAGTTGTGCCAGGACTCCACGACTTCGAGCAGGACCATTTCAGTGTGTGAGTGAGAAGGAGCATGCTCTGACCTGTCTCACTCCGTCCGCAGCTGAATTCTAATCCTACAACAAGCGCCTAGAGGACCCAGCAGAAGAGTCAACAACCAAAAGCAGCGACTTACCGTTCTATTTCACTGGCTGCAGTGAGCCCGCTCACTGCAACTGGTTTGTCTCGTTCGTTCATTGGCTTGGCAAGCAATGGCAAGCAGTCACGAGGCGTGGAGAGCTCAAATGAAGCAATAGCAACATGCGCCATGCCACTAGATTGGGAATGTCTCAAACATCCTTCGAGCTGAATGCAGAGTCTCTGTTGCCTCGAATCACTTTCAAACCTCGGCATTTCCTTTATCGAGTTGTCCCGGCAGGCTTCGGGCCAAAGCCAAGGACATCGAAACAGTCGAGATATGCGGTCCGGTCCACCCTATGTAACTGCATACGCTAATGCAGTGTGGCATTGCTCTTTTACATCCGCTGCTCGAGCCCTCTTGGGAGGGCGAAGAGTGTGTGTTGCAGCACTGCTGCTAGCCATCTTCCCGTTTCCTTTTCCTACTTTCGCTTTGCGGCTGCACGATCCCAAGGGGGTGTTGCCGACCAACCTTTCGCAAGCCATGAGGGCGTGGGCCTTGCTTTCTGGGCAGGGAATTTTCTCTGGCACGGCTCTGCAGGTTATCGCGCTGACTTTGTCGTGGATTCGGCACGGGCAAAACTCCGCACCGCCCCATCCTGCGACGTCAGCTGGCAAATCCGTACGCCGAGTCATCAAGAACTTACACACGAAGCTTGCCCACAAAGCCGGTGCCAGTAGAGCACACTGCCGCTGTGACAGGTGGATTCCAGGTTGCAGGCAGCAACATCTTGCACATTCAGCTTCTAAACCGGTGTAGAGCAAGCCTACTCGTCGTGGCGTTTTTCAGAGAGGCAGCGCTGCACCCCACATGTCGCAGCCGGCTAGTGACGAGTGTTTTGCCGGGGGGCTCTCAGCTGGCATCTTGAGTTATCGGCCAACTTACAACCCCCCACCCCCACCCGGAGATTTCAAAAAAGATCGCCCAAGTTTCTGGGTAAAGGGTAGATGTTTCATTGAGGAGCGATTGAATTCGCAGTGGTTTTAAGATCTTTCCGTGGTTCAATAAATCTCGCTTCTTGAGGAAATGTGATTACACATAGATTTTATTAGAATCTGGTTCTGTTTAGCAAAAAATCTTTAGTTTTTATTAAATAGTTGAGCTCAAAAAAATCCTGGCTCGATCAGGGGAGTCGAGGAATGCTTACAAAGCCTCTTTAAATTGTTGTTGCCGGGAGTGGGGGTTGATAATTCGCTGGCAATTGAGGCTAAGACACATCCACCACAAGTGGTTCGGCCTCAGCCACTGCAGTGAAAAAGCCAGCATCAAGCCGTCAAAGAGTTGCTCTTGAGCGAGCGTCTCAGAGCTCACAAGCAAAAACTTGTGAGTCGGCTTGGGATTTGCCTGAGAGTCTTTCCCGAGTTTCCTTGTTCAGGGCTTTTCAAAGTGTTTCATGAGATGCCGCAGATCTCGAAGGAAAAGGTTCTGCCATCTTCCAGGCGGCTAGCTCTCGTCGCTGATTTCGCATCAGATTGCAGTTCGATCGGGAACTGAGTGACTCAAAAGCCCTGCATGCCACGTCGCCTTGTCGGTTCGACTCTGAGCCTCGGGGCCTCGGCTCCTCCTCCCGGTGAGGAGCTTAGGACCTTAGGCTACGAGGAGCTCAGGCGGCGATGCTCCGCTGTGGCCGGGCCGGGAGCCTCAGAGCTGCAAGGAATTCGGAGAATCGGTTCGAATCTTCGGTACAAGCATTTCGAGATCGTCCCAGTCCCGTCTTTGAAGGCCTTTCACTCCGCTTTTGCCTGCTCAACGCAGCGGCTAAGCCGATCCCTTTCAACCAGCCATACCGTACTCGTACCTGCTTCTCGAATCGGAACGGCAGATGTCAGCTGGCCAGCATAAAAACGTTTTGCTCCCGCTGCCGGAGACCCGCCTTCGTGCCAGGCCGGGCGACCCAGCCCTGACGTGACTCTCACATCGTTGTCTTCTGCCACGCAAAAGGCTTGTGCAAGAGGATGCTTTCGGTTGAACTTTGAGGTCAATGCGAGGGCAGCTACAGCTTCAACAGCTTTTGCACTTGATGCCGGCCGTTGTCGTTGATACTTTGTGCCGAACATGGTTGAACGAAGTCTCTCCCGAACATCGTCAGGCTCTGCTCGAAGCAGACAACAAGGATGCAGAACTGGGCAAGGTTCGCGGTGCCATTCAAATAGAGACAGATAATTTTACAAGACAACAGTGACCTCAATCGTTGCCATTCATGTTTCGTGAAACTGCTCTCCACTTTGCTCACAGACACTGAATGGCCTGGTGGCGGTCGATGAAGTTGCCCCAGAGCGGCGCATTAACCCTGGTACTTGGCGTTGCTGGCAAGTTTTAATGCTCAGGAAACTCAAGGGTTTGCCAACTTCTAACTAGCTATGCTGTGAGGCTCGCCGTCACGTGAACGCCTCCATCAATCCAGAGTTTGTCTTTTAGATCATGTTCTCTGCTGACACTGCAAAATCAGCACACACAGTAAGTCGCTACACACTACACGAAGACTTGGAGGCTTTCCGAGAGGCACTGCTCAGTGTTGTGGTTGGTTTAGAGAGGAGCACGGCACATGCTGTTCCAGCTAGCCTATGCTAACCTGGTCCTTGTCATGTCAGGATCTCCGACCCGCCAGAGACCACAAACCTCTTGAAGCACGCAACTTACAGGGTTCCGCAGTCACTGTACCAACATACACCGCCAAGATTGACAAAATCCGAAAGTCCACGAATCTATGCTTAATCCTTGCGGTGAGCGACGGTAGTTCTGCTTTCCAACTTCACGTACCACTCGGCCACTCAGGTTTGGCGTTGCGCTCAACAAGGTTGCTCCACCGCCGAAGGAGTGAGAGTTGGTTCACCGACAAAGACTGTCAAACGCGGTGTCATACGTAAAGCATGTGCTGAACATGTCATACGACAACATATGCATGCAAATTCAATCACACAGCGCATGAAACTTGAATAACGTGGAAGAAATTTCGCAACATTATCCATCTTCTGCATGTCCGTCGATCGAAACATTGGCCATCATGAGAAAAGGACAGATTGTGCAACTCTCTATTCCTAGACTTATATGAGTTCGTGGAACGAATTTGGCACATGACCGATATACATATATATAATATATTTTAATTTCTATATTACGATAGATTTGATAGTATAATTTGCGTCGATATGAATGATTGGATATTTTGGTTTTCGCCCTAATGATATATATATATATATATATACTATTCTAATTTCTTATCATCTATATAATAAGATAATATTCCTCGGGGGGGGGAACGTCGTAATCATTTGATATAATTAATTAATTGAGTCGATTCATAAATTATAATATAATCTAAGATATGATATATGATCTTATTAAATTCAATTTCAATCTATTCTGATTATTTAGGTATACTAAAAATATCTAAAAATTCAATATTTGAATAATTAATATCTTATTAAGAAAATTTTACGACTATAATTCAAAAAAATTGTAGGATCATATATTAGATTTATTATAATTTCAAAAAAAATATGAATTAGAAGATTTAATGAATATTATATTAATATCTTGAATATTTATATACTATTATAAAAAATATAGAGAATGAAATATTCTGAAATGAACCTATATAATAATATTCGTTATAATAATAGATGATATTCACGACGATACGTATATGACTCATATCATAAATATACGATATATTATTATGTTGACGTTCAGGTCCACTGGGGTGCTGATCAGAAGCCATGGCAGGAAGCAGTTCACGTCTTCTCCGAAGTAAATCTATGATTGCAACCCCCTCAGAGAAGAACAATCACACAGAAGAATTCCGAGGGAGAGGATCCTAAGGGGAACCTCGCAAACCGAGACACCCCAAACCTCACCTCCAAGAACCACAACCAACCCCGACCTACCAACGGCCCAAACAGGCCTCACTTCAGTCGGAATTTTCCTCATGCTTGAGCCACGCCGGTGCGTGTCATCCTTGTGCAAGGAGCTTCTGTGCATACCCTTGGCTAAACATGTTAGGGAGTGCATCAAGGCGCAGCTTACAGGCGCCA